TGGCCAAGTAATTGCACTCAGTGCCTGGGGACAGTGGCTCTGCCACCATCTCTGAGTGTGTTTATGTGAAGCTCCTAGAAAGGCAGGTCCTGGGTTCTTCCTGGAGTCATTTGTGCAGTAGAATCACAGAAGTGTGGAAAGGTTTGGGTTGGAAAAGACTTTTTTAAGGGACGTCTAGTCCAGCCCCCTTGCCGTGAGCAGGGACATGAAACCAGTAGTTTAGTTTTGCTGGGAACACATTAATAATATCTGTATGCAAATTACAGAATTTGGTAATTAGTCCCATGGATTAATAGCCTTGGCTGCCTTTGGGATTTAGCAGAATTGAATTTAATAACTGCCTACGTGTCAGCCCTAAAATTGGCTACCTGTGTGACTCATCTGTGGGATACCCAGGCCTGGCTTTGTGTTTGCAACTAGAAAAACATCCTAAATTTCTTGGTAACAGAGGTTGGGGCTGTTGGATGGAGTTTGGAGTGAAAGGAATGGAAGATATTGGAACCAGACAGAAATGGGTGTCCCATCAGGTGATCAGTGTTTGATTTATCTGGTCACCCTCCTGTGCTTCTGTCTGTCAGCACTGAAATTGCTTAAAAACCATCGAGCAGTTGCTGAAAAAGTCTCCAAGATGAGATGCCAGCTCAAATTGGAAGAGAAAATACAATCAAGTGCAAATTGGAATACAATCAGTACAAATTTGAAGAGAAAATAAAATCCCAGGGTGGTTGGGGTTGGAAGGGACCTTAAATCATCTCATTCCATTCCTTGGGATTGGATGTCAGATTAAAACACCTCTGGAGATGTCCAGTGGCTCCCACCTGTGTTTATCCCCCCCCTGACTGCAGCCATACATCCAAGGAGGGCAGGAATCAAACTCTCATCATTCCCTTCCAGGTCCTTCCCGCTGCATTTCGATGAAAACTCCTTCTTTGCAGGGAATAAAAAGGAAGCTGCTAAACTCAAGGTAATTTCTGCCCCACTGCAGGAGGCTTTTCCTACCTCAGCCCCACTGAATTCCAGGATTAATTGAGATTACTACCTGGCAGGAGTCCTAATTAGTGCACAATCATGAATGTCTTCTCCCCCAGGAGGAATTTAGGCTGCACTTCAAGAATATTTCCAAGATCATGGACTGTGTTGGCTGCTTCAAGTGTCGGCTGTGGGGGAAGCTGCAGGTGAGATTTGTCAATCTCTGGGATTATCTGGGATAATTTGGGAGCTCTGGGGCTGGGATAGCAACGAGCTCCTGGTACAGCTCAGGGCTGCTGATTCCTCACCTGTGCAGGCAGCAGGAAGCAGCTGATGTGCCCAGCCTGGAAAACTGGGATAAGCCAAGAGAGGAGAGGGGTGCAGAGCCTGGTTTGGGTGAAATCCTCTTGCCCTGTTGAGAGGATGCTGCCCAGGTGAGGGAGGTTTGGATGCTGCTGATCAGGGATGCTCTTTGATCCCTGCACAGACACAGGGCTTGGGCACGGCGCTGAAGATCCTCTTCTCAGAGAAGCTCATCGAGAAGATTCCTGAGAGTGGCCCTTCCTATGGATTCCAGCTGAGCAGACAGGAAATTGTGGCCTTATTTAATGCCTTTGGAAGGTGAGTTTGAGACTTTCCCCTCTACTTTTGCATGAGCTGCTGTGCTGCATCCAGTTTGAGCTCTAATTTCAGGCAGTTCCCAGCAGTTTTGGGGGGGACTCTTGCTCTGGTCATAGTCTGGTACCAGGTGTTGGTGTGGAGTACAACAGTTGGAATGATTTAAAATGTTCTTTATACTGTGCATTTCTGTAAGGAATTCAAGGAAGCATTTATGCTAAGATACAAAGAATTCCATCATTTTTAAGGGACTGTGTGACTCTGTCCTTGGAGCACATTGTCCCAGGCAAGGCTGCTGTCCTTAGGCCTCTCTCCCTGTTCATTCCCAGTGCATGATGGCATTTTTAGCAGGAATCCTTCAGTCCAGCCTCTCTGGATGAGGAGTTTTTGTCAGAAAAGGAGGATAACAAGGCCTTTAGGAGGGGATTTCAGGACACTCTGGTTATACATTAGCTCTTGGTGATGTTGAGAGACCAGGAGTTTCTGGCAAATAGGATTTTCCAAGGATGAATTCCTTAATATCCTATTCCCCTGTGATTGCCAGTGTTTGCTTTAAAAAGAGGCAGGGGAATAGTGAAGGGCTGGTTGTAACCTCAGCCTAATTTAGCTGCAATTCCAAATCTTCTCTTCCCAAGAGCTGCTTGAAGCTTTGCTGCATACAGCCCCTTTCTCCCAGATTTTAAATAATTCACTACATGAATGTTGCTGTAACATTTCCCTTTTGCTTTCCTTGCACACAGGGTTTCAACCAGCGTGAAAGAACTGGAAAACTTTAGGAATCTCTTACAAAACATGAGGTGAATTCAGTGGAGAAAGAGAGATTTGAGGACAAACACCATCATTCCACCACTCTGACTTAATCCATGGAAACCACTTGCTGGGCCTCCTGTCCCATGACTGTCTGTAACCTGCTGAGGAGATATTTTGTACAAGGGAAAAAAAAAAAAAAAAAAAGCTATTTTTTTTGGTATAAAAATGGGGACTAGATGTAAATTTTATTTTATATATTGGAAGATCATTTGGAATAACTCTTTGAAATATTGCTGTGCTATTTGGATGGATCAGACCCACGGCCTTGCCTTTGGAAGCTGGAGGTGGGGCAAGAACTGTGCCATTGAATAAATTTGGGGGAAATTCCTTGTGTGCTCCATCATTCCAACCAGCCCCTCACTCACAGTGTGCCTACACCAACTTCCTGCTGCATAAAAAAACAACTTCAAGGCATTGTAGGAGCTGCTGCTGTCCCAAGGTGAAATCCTCTTCTTCAGAATTCCTGTTCTTTTAGGAACAGGGAGTTCCTGGTGCTCCTTGCACCCACTGGAGGCTGGGAAGATGCACCAGAGGAGGATCATGCTGGAGGAGCCCCACCTCTCCCCATGGCACCTGGAGGCTGCATTCCTCCTTCAGGAAAAGCAGAACCCACCCTCAGCTGCTGCCAGGACCCCAATCCCAGCCTTCTCCTGTCCCTTTGGGAGCTAAAATGGGAAAGGATGTGCCAGGCACGGGGCTGCTGCTCCTCAGAGCTGGCCCAGGGTGAGGTGCAGGGGAATTCTGCTGCTCCAAGGACAAGCAGTGGGGCAGAGCTTGTCCCTCCTGGGCTGGGCACAACCCCACAGGAATAGGGGTGAGATCCCCTGTTCCTGCTGCCCCACGGGGATGGGGCCAGCCCTGCACCATCCCACGGGGACAGAGGACAGGTTTGGGTGTGGGCAGTGCTGCTGGAAACAGCCCCCCCAAGCCTGGATCTGTGTGGAACCTCTCTGGGGCTGGGGGAGCCAGTCCTGGAAAGGACAAAGCACAGCCCCGGGCCAGAAGTCTCTTGGGACACTGGTTTGAGCACATTGCTCCTCAAAGATGGAGACATGGAATCACAGCAGAGCCTCCCCGGGCTGGGAGGGCTCCACAGGGGTCACAGTGACCAGCACAGCTCCAGGCCCTGCCCAGACCCCCAGCAATCCCAGCCTGGCATCCCTGGCAGCTCCTGGAGCTCTGGCAGCCTCGGGGCTGTGCCCATTCCTGGGGAGCCTGGGCAGTGCCAGCCCCCTCTGGGGGAAGAGCCTTTCCCTGATTTCCACCTAAACCTCCCCTGGCACAGCTCCAGCTGCTCCCTCAGGGCTGCAAGCAGAGAAACAGCAGGGGACAAATCCCTGTGGCACCCCCAGCTCAGCCCTCAGAGCCCATCCCAGAGCTCCCAGCCCTGGGGCAGCAGAGCAGTCGGATGTGCCAGGTCCTGGCAGGGCTCAGGGGACCACACCTGGAGCTGGCTGGGTCACCCTGGGAGCCATCCCAGCACAGAAAGTCCTTTTTTTATTTTTTTTTTAATTTATTTCAACAGAGTAGTGCTTGGTTACAGTTTAGTGAAGAACAAATAGGTACATTCATTGGCCACAGCTCCCGGGGCAGCAGCTGCTGCTGCCCACCTGCAAAGCCAGAACACTGTTAAACCATACCAAAAAAACAAAAACAACCCCACCAAAAAAAAAAAAAAAAAAGAAAAACCAAAAGAAAGTTTAATGAAAGGCAACTATGCATTAAAAAAGTCCTTGTAACTTCTGAGCTATAAATGAGTTCAGAACAACGCGGGACCAGCCAGAGGAGGAAAACCCAAACCTTGGCCAGTCGCTCCGGGGTCCATCAGCAACGAGGCTCACTGCCCTGACCTGCCCTCCCAAAAAATCCAGGAAGATCGTAGTGTGGGTGTGTGCTTCAGTGCAAGAGGAACAACGAGCCTGTAGCCCTTGGATTTTGTAGGTTTTTTTTAAATTTTTTTAATTTTTTTTTTTTTTTTTTTGCACTACACTCCTTTCCCTCCAAAGTAAAACTTAAAGTGCTCCTAGTGCTTTGGAATTTAAGCAAGAACAGGGGCCACGAGTGTCACTTGCTGTCTTTGGAGACTTATGGGAGCAGAAGGAAGGGTGGCAGTGGCTGGCCCTTCACCAGCTTTGCCATAAGCCAAGCAGGGATTGAGATGGAGCAGCCTGTTCCTGCCAGGAGACAGGGGAGCAGCTGGGGTGGAGCTCTGGGACAGGGACTCCAGCAAGGGCTGTGCTGAGAGTTGCCATCTCCTAAAAAGAAGCAGGACTCGCTGCTTTTTTGGGCCAGCAGGAGGTGAGCAGGGAGAGCACAGGCCACACAGGGCAGTGGGACAATGACAGGAGCTCAGCACAGCCCCAGGACAGGGCAGTGGGACAGTGACAGGAGCTCAGCACAGCCCCAGGACAGGGCAGTGGGACAGTGACAGGAGCTCAGCACAGCCCCAGGACAGGGCAGTGGGACAGTGACAGGAGCTCAGCACAGCCCCAGGACAGGGCAGTGGGACAGTGACAGGAGTTCAGCACAGCCCCAGGACAGTGGGACAGTGACAGGAGCTCAGCACAGCCCCAGGACAGGGCAGTGGGACAGTGACAGGAGCTCAGCACAGCCCCAGGGCTGAGGGGGCCAGGCTGGTGAGGAGAGGATGCTCCAGGCTGGGGTTGCTCTCACAGCTCTCAGGGTCCCCCAGCTCCCAGCACAGCATTCCCTGTCCCCAGTGTCACAGCGGGGCTGGAGCAGCACGGGGCAGGTTAAAAGCAGTCCCAGGGTGGATTTGCCTCACGGTCAGAGCAGCTCCCTCCCTGCACCAGTGCCTTTATCCAAAGCTGCTCTGCTCATCCCCACGGCTGGCTCAGGGACAAGCCAGGAATAACACCAAGCCTCATCTCCAAAGAGCCCAGGCTAGGTCAAACTTGGCTATTTTGGATAAGGAAAGACAGAGGGACCTGTCCCAGCCTGACCCAGCACTCCCAGCTCTGGGAGGCCCCAGGTCCACGGGGAGGGCAGAGTAAGGAGCCCAAGGATCAGATCCCTGTGGTTTCTGCCCCTTGCCTCTGCAACAGCAATGTTCCACAGGCAGCCAACACCCCCTGCACCTCAGTGGGGACCCAGCAGTTCACATTCACTTCAGGTTAAAACTCTTGGTTATCTGCTAAATGCAATTTAATACTGAGGGGGACGAGGGGAGCCCCACTGTGGGCAAGGAGGAGGGGGAGCAGGGCTGCTCCCAGCACCCAGGGGGTGCAGCAGCCCTGGATTCACACACATTCCTGCACACACACTCCTGCTGAGCCAGCTCCAGCCTCTCCCTGCAGGGAAAAGCCAGCCCTGTCCCTCAGCCACGGGCCAGCGGGGTCACCATGAGGCCAGCAGGAACACTGACCTCACTCAGCTCTGAGCCCCAGGCCCAGGTAGGACAGGGCAGCAGCCAGGTGGGACCAGCAGGCAGGGCAAGACCCCCCCCGAGCCCCAGGGCCTCTCCCAGCCCTGCCAGGTGGGAATATGGCACAGTAAACTCCAGCACCCAGCACCGGGGGCCCTGCCCAGACAGAGCTCCCAGGGAGGCAGGATGCAGAGTCCTTCAGGGAACACGTCTTTGCAGAAGCCAGTGCCTCTCCCAGCTCTGGATGTGCAATTAAAACAGTAACTAGAACAGTCTCAGGCCAAACACAGCCCGAGCGAGATTCGTTCCTTCCAAGTGTGCAGATAAAAGTGCAAATATGCATTTGATGTTTCTTTTCTAGTGAGGAAGCTCTGGTGCATTTAGCTGCCAAAATCTTGAAGACCAGACCAAGAAGAAGGAAAAAAAAAAAAAAAAAAAAAAGCTTCCAGAGAGTTCAGCTTCACTTTGCTACATGGTACCTTAAAGTCACAGTTCTCTGACTTAACTGCCCGCAGCCCTGGGCTCAGTCCCGCGCGCCGCTGCGGCAGGTAGTGGAATGTTTGTGTCATGAGTTAGATGCTTCGGGGGGGAAGAGGAGGAAAAGAGGAAGAAAACCAGGTTACAATCCTATACACGAGTGCCACTCTGGGAAGAGAGGGAGCCTCCTCAGTTCTGTGGGGCGGGGTGGGAGCTGTGCTGGTGGTTGATCTCCGAGCCGCCAGCGGCGCAGAGCAAGGGCGCGCTGTCCGCGGCGCTCCCGCCGTCGGTGCCGGCCAGGGAACCGTAGCAGCCCGAGCACTGAGGGGTGGCCAAGCTGCAGGAGAGACAGAAAAAACAGACTGAGAGGTGGCCAAGCTGCAGGAGAGGCAGAGAAAAACAACAGGCATGGACTTTTTAGGGATGAATGATTTGGCTTCTCCAGACTTCTGCTCCCAGCATCGGTCAGGGTGTTGATGTTTGAAGGTACGGCATCTCCAAGGAACTTGGCTTTGATGAGACAGCTACAAGGAGAAGAGCACCAGGCTGGTCAAGAGGAGCCAGAAGCTCTGAGCTGCTCACTACACCCCTGGACAGTGATGTGTGCTACACAGGTAGAAGAATTATAAAAGAAAGGCCTTATGAAATCAGGCCTTGCTCTGCTAACACTGCCAAAGCTGGCCTGTCATTTCTTCTAAGTGCAGCTAACAAGCAATTTGCAAGTTGCCATGTGAAGCTATTTTGAGAATCAGAAGTTGCTTTAATGCAACATTCTATTCTGAGGGTGAAAAACAAATGCACCTGTGTAAATAATAAGATTTGTCCCATGAGAATCCACAAAGGAAAAATGTAAACATATCTAGAGAGAGAAAATTTGATATATATATACAATAGCCCTTACTGACCAGTGAACTGAATTTCACTGTATTGCTGACCAGTTAGGTTTAACACAGTGCTGATATTTCCTGCAAACGTGAGCTTTGTGAATAAAGAATTGGCTTTCTGCATGAAGGACATGGAGTGTCAGCTGATTTATTCCAACACATGGAGACCCCAAAGATGTGACCGATGCGAGACGAACAGCGTGTCGCAAAAAAAGGTGAAATGAGCCAAGCTGACCCCAGGACTGGGTGGTGAGACAGGATTTAGAGATGGAATATACAAAGTCATGAAAGGAAGATGGAGCTGGCCACGAGTGTGGCCGAGGTAAGAGTGAAGAGCAGCGAGACAAGATGCAGCACACGGACACAACCACCGGCAGCACCGCTGGCTGCAGGATCAGCATGAAAAGAAATTCAAGCAATGAACTTACAAAGTAGCAAAAGGCTGCAGATGGAACAAGCAATGACAAGAGGCAGCCGGTGAAGCAGAACGCGGGCAGCAAGTGCACGGGGCTGCAGAGGGTGTGGAACACATGGAAATGAACACAACTCCTGGCAGGAAGCGTGAGAACCAAACTGCGAGTCGCAGAACGCAAACGTGGTCTCCAAACCTCGGGAGCTACGTGGCCAAAGGAGAGTCCTGGAAGGTGAGGCAGCCTAAGAGCTGCCGAGGAGAGAAGGGCTCAGCAAATCGTGGGGACAAGTCTCAAGAACCATGGTGAGTGAACAGTCAGCTGCTAAGGTGTGGGGAAACAAGCTGCAGAATAGAACTGTGATGTGGAAATGGCACGCGGGAGCGGCGACTGCGCGGAAACGTACGCGTCATGGAAAGAAAGCCAAACTGTGAGTCAGAAGAGGCAAAAATGTTGGGAAAAGGAGAAAGTACAATAAATTTATGTTGACACCTTTGTTACTGTGTTGTGTGGTGCAGGGACTGGTCCCCAATTTGGTAAACGTGTTTAGTGGAGCCTGAGCCCACACTCTGGTTCTGGGACAGTGCCTGTGTGTGTGTCCCTGCGTGCAGATGCTTGGGAGCACATGGCCCCTGTGTCAGTCATTTCCCTTCTATCCCAGAGCTGGACACAGCAGTAGGGGCAGCAAGAGCCAAACCATGTGGAGAAACAAATGAAGAACCAGGAGCCCAGAACCAGAACTCAGTTGCGTGCTCGTGCAAAATTACCTCCGTCACGACTAAGTCACCCCAGATGGTGCGCACGGCGGCTGCCTGAGCGGGTCTCAGCCTCCAGCAGAACTCAAACCCAGGACCAGCGGTGGCTGGACAGTATTTTTACAGCAAAGCTTCTTTCCAGACCCAGTGGCTCCACCAGGGCTGGGCCCCTCGGTCGGTGGCCCCTGTGGAATCACAGACTCCGAAGAGGAGAGCTGCGGGCGAGTGGTGACTTTCGAGAGTTTTCCACATTTGCCTTTTGGTATTTTTCCTCTTACCGTGTGCAGTTTTCAGGGTTTTTTATTGCTTTTTCCCCTCCTCTTTTTCAAGCACAAGTGTTTTAGTGGGGAGAACAGAGGTGCAGCAGCACAGGACAGCATCACAGAGTTTTCCCTTCCCTAGTTGGTGGTGGCATGGGGCAGCTCAGCCCTCCTCCCCGCTTTTTGGGGCAGTGCCTGCCCATTATTTGAAATCAGCTGATCTATATTTAATTGCTGTTCTAAGAGACCTGTTGTAGATATGGGGTGGTGTGGCAGGCCTCCCCTGCCCCAACACATGGCTTGGCCACTGCACCCCTCTGTTCCTTTTTTAAAATTTTTTTGTTTGGTTTTTTTATATAACAATGTCTAAGGGGCTTACTAGAAAGTGACTCTATAAAGTATTCTTGAAATCTATATTCATGCACATACAAAATCCAGACAGTGAAGAAGTCAGAGCTGCTGCCAGATCCACTCTCTCTGCAGATGTGTGATCCTTCACCTGGGGACAGCTACAGCAGCCCTTGGCACCTCAGGTCTTTGTAGGTCTTTTTATTCACCACATTCCCACTGGAATCCTCATATTCCTCCTCTATATCAGGCTGCCACCTCTCTGAAGCCTTCTGCTGTTTCAGCTTTGCCCACAGAGAGACCGCATCCTCAATCTGTGTGACGCTGGCAAAGTGTGCTGTGCTGGGAATGCCCAGGCACGGCATTCCAAGGGCGTCTCTCCATCTGCAAAGTGCCTCTGGAACACCCTGGGCCCTCGGTAGGTGTAGTTACCACAAATCTCACAGCTGTAGTTGATTTTCAGACCATGGAGTTTATACAACCAGTACGGGATGGGCTTCCCATCCCAACCAAGAGGCAGATTCTTAGGGTTATAAATTATTTCATTTTCTTCATCTTCACTCTCTCTCTCATTGATCTGCTCTTCTCTTCCCTCTCTCTCTCCTCCCCTGTCCATGCCTGCTTACACTGCACGTTCTCGTGGGTGAGGTGTCTTTGTTCCTGAAGAACTTCCACATAACTCATAAATCTGAGCTTCCAGGAACGCAAGATCTTTATTTCTTTCAGTGTCTCTCTTGCTTCCCTTTGTCTTTGGATTCTTAGCAAACAAGGAAGGATCAAGTGCTTCCAGGGATTTGCCTTTAGTGCTAAAAAGCCTCTGAGCACGCTCCTCCAGAGTCCCACCACACTTCAGCCCCAAAGCCAGCAAAGCTGATTTTAACCTGTCCAGTCCCAGGGAGGCCAGTTCCTCCCAGGAGGAGAAGGCCGAGAGGTCCAGGTGGGCACCAGTATGGGTGAGGGCACTGCTGGTCTCTTTTGGCCGGCCTGGGAATGTGCCATTCTCCCACTACTTCTCAAACTCCTTCTGAATTTTCTCAAAAAGTTCATTGTGGTCCAGTAATGGTTTCACTCGATCTGTGTAACCCTGCAGGTACTCAAGGAGCATTTCAAGATACCTCTTATATTCAGCATTTTTTTTCTCCTTGGGAATATTGAAGCGTTGGTCAAATGTGGATAAGTAAGTGATATAATCTAATTTCACTGGTGATTTGAGGTTAATGTACTTGAGGTAACAATCATGCAAATCCAAGTATCGTATGTACCCTTCCTCATCTGTGAGCTCCACCAGATTCTGAGCTTCTTCACTCAGGTTGTCTCTGCCCTTCAGCAGCTCCTCAAACTCCACTGACATAGGAACACAGATCTCACTTGGGTGCTTCTGGTGAAATTCCTTGATTTGCTTCAGTCTGTAGTAAAACCCCACAAATTCACTTGGCCCGGAAATGGCACTGAGTTCTTCCTCACGCAGGCCGTCCTTGTCATCATACGGATCCCGCAGGTTGCTGCTCACTTCCATGTACCTGTCCTGCATGGCCCGGCTGTGGTGGTCCGAACTGATCTGGTGATGGAGCTTGGACTTCTTGGTGAGCATCTCCTTCACCATCACGTCCATGAGCTGCTCCTGCTCCTCATGGTACAACTGCTGCTGCTCCAGGATCGTCTCCATCCCACTGACAGCTCCCGCTACCCTTTGTGCCTGCAGTTCTCCTCTTCTCCCAAGATTATTTTTAATCAATTTCTTAATCAAGTCCTATAACCTTAAATTTTATCTGCAGTAGTTCCTTAAAGTTTAGAAATAATTAGCTCACAAATAAAATGTTACTGCTGAATGGTTTTGAAACATATCTGTCCTGAAGGAAACTTTGGAGGGACCCAACTACTAGGTGGTTTAATTAATCTTTAACCCCAAGGCCTTTATTCATAACTGCTATTCTTAAGAGCCTTGTTTTAAAATGTGTTTAGGGAATTCCCTCCCAGATGGAGCTTGGGCTGTGGCCAGGCCTTAGCTCCACCTGGAAGGAGAATTTGTCAATAAACCCAATGTTTTCTGCATCAAAACTAGATTCAGGTCACTTTGACTTGGCAATTTGACCCTTTATATATGACAGCTGAACCTATCTTTAGAGTGAGCTTGGGAATTATTATCTGGAAATAATTATCCAAGCCCTCACTAAATTGAGGTTTGTCAGCTGTTCGCAGACTCTGGCATGATGGTACAGTATTTCAGAGATCCCTAATTACCTAATTTCACATGTATTATTAATTACGTGTATTATCTGAAGTAGTCTTAATTGTTGTACCTGGCTTATTCCTGATTGCTGTCAGTTTCTTGTTCACTCCATGTATGGTTTTGCCTTGATGTTTCCTCATGCTCATAACCAAAGATAAGCATCTCATTTAAAAAAATAATAAAAATAAGGAAAATTTAGTGCCTTAAGAACATCCAGATACTGTAATATGTACATTAGAAATTTAGACAACAAAAAATGTTGAATAATGCAATATTTGCATTAGAAATTTGGAAAAAAGGTCATCAAATCTAAATCCCAATTGAGTGTGCCTCAATTAGTAAAGCCTAACTGGTTCACTGACTTCAAGAGAGGGCGTGCTTGTGTTTTATCAGCAGCAGGTTTGAAGTGGTCACCTGTCAGATCAATCACTGATCACCTCTGGGAAAATGAGGCCCAGTGGAAAGAGAAATAACCTCATCACCCTGCAGCCCTCGTGGCCAGAACAGGAACAGAACCAGGACTGCCAAGGCTTAGCTGTGTCTGCAAATACAGAGGCAATTTGCCAACAAAAGCTTCATGTCATCATCACAGTATAGTGTTCCTACTAACCTTCTTCAGCTATTCCCTGTTCCAGGATCTAGGAGGACATTCAGTGATGTCAAAGATCAACATTTCCACCTAATGGACTTTCTCCTGAGTCTCAACTGTTTGACTATAAAGCAATGGCCATTTATCTCCATTTCCCTAAGAGACATTGGACATTATTCTTTTGTTTTCTCATGCTGCAAAATCCTGTGTCAATGACATGACAGAATCTGATAAGCTTTGTTGATTGTAATCAGTCTTTTATCCCATATCTAATAGATAACCAGTGATAACCTTAATGAGATAATACCCTCCCAAGAGCAAGCTGTTTTAAGACCACATCAGAGCCTTTTTTAAATTAATGAAAAGGGTGAGATGTTGTAGACAGGTAGAAGAATTATAAAAGAAAGGCCTTATGAAATCAAGTTGCCAAAGCTGGCCTGTCATTTCTTCTAAGTGCAGCTAACAAGCAATTTGCAAGTTGCCATGTGAAGCTATTTTGAGAATCAGAAGTTGCTTGAATGCAACATTCTATTCTCAGGGTGAAAAACAAGTGCACCTGTGTAAATAATAAGATTTATCCCATGAGAATCCACAAAGGAAAAATGTAAACATATCTAGAGAGAGAAAATTTGACAGACATATACAATAGCCCTTACTGAGCAGTGAACTGAATTTCACTGTATTGCTGACCAGTTAGGTTTAACACAGTGCTGATATTTCCTGCAAACATGAGCTTTGTGAATAAGAATTGGCTTTCTGCATAAACGAAATGGAGTCTCAGCTGATTTATTCCAACTGTGAGGGACTTGGAAGTGAAGTGGAAAGGAAGTGTTGCAGACCAGGCTGGACAGAGCTTGGAGCAGCCTGGGATAGTGGAAGGTGTCCCTTCCCATGGCAGGGGATGGAACAAGATGGGCTTTAAGGTCCCTTCCACCCCTAACCATTCCATGATTCATGGTGACAGGGCTGCCAGGATGTTTTGTGAGAGTTTTGCTGGGGATACCTGACCACTGTCCCACACACCAGCAGTTTCTGCAGAGCTTTGTCCCAGCTCCCTTCCAGAATATCACCAGCTCTCACTTCCCAGTGGAGAAACCCCTCTGGAAATCATTTCAAGAGTCCTCTGAAATGGATCCCAGCCCTCCTGGGTGAGGTCTGCTGTCGGCAATCACCACCTGTGAGCACCATCCACCTCTCTGAGCTGGTGGACCACTTATGCCCAATAAAAACAGCTCCTTGTGAGCTGCACAAGGGAACGAAAGCTCTGTCAGAGGCTCCCTGCCCCATCTACCATGCCCAAGCTGCCTCTTCCACCGAAGTTTTTCCTAGGAGCAGAAGCCAGGAGCTCTGGTGATGCCCCAGAGGGCAGCAGAGCAGCAGCACAACCCTTCCTTACCCTCCTTCCCTGGCCCCGAGCCGTGACAAGTCATCGTCGCTGTCGTAGCGCCTGGGATTGTCAAAGAAATAGGCCCTGGAGCTGTAGCTGTGGCTGTTGACCATCCCTGCTGGAGTCTGCCAAGGAGACAGGAGTTAGGCCAGAAGCAAAACATTCCCAAAAGTCATCCCAGGCACCCTCCCAGCACAGGGGGACTCGCTCAGGCCTACCAGGTTCTGGCTCAGTCTCTGAGCGCGGAAGAACAGCACCACGAAAGTGGTTGGCACCAGCTCCCAGAGGAACAGGACCACTCCAAACACCACGTACTCCTCACTGCTCACCTCCACGTGCACCTGTGGGCACAAGGCAGAGGGGTCTGTGTCATCCCAGCCACCCAGAGAGCTCCCAAAAGCTGAAACTGGGAGTGCAGAGAAACCTTTCCAAAGGCAGGAGCCCCCAAAGCAGCACAGTGACCTTCACCTGGCTGCTGCTGCTGGTTTGGGTGAGCTGGTTCTGCTCAGAGGGTGCTGCCAGGGCACTGGGAGCTCTCTGCCCACACCAGGGACTCCCCCTCACACACAGCCATGCCCGATTAAGCATTGCTGTTCTGCTCTAGTTGAGCTGTCCCTCCTCTCCCTCACAAGAAGAGTTGGCAGGCTGAAAGGGAAGAGCACAACGGGGATTCCGTCCTGAAGAAGTGGCTGGGGAGAGGAGGACTCAGGTTTGCTGGGTGCAGAGAGCAAGCAGAGCAGAAAGGCAGCTCATGTGGGGGTTCAGCTACCCAGACACCCCCCCCAAGCCCCCTGTTCACCCTCACAGGATGAGCAGTGACTGCATTTCACTTCACTGGCTCTGGATTTGGGGTCACACACTCACCTTGTCTGAAAGGTTGTCCCAGCCATAGTTAAAAGGACCAGGAACATTGTCTGGAGATATGGCCACAGCTACCAGGTTATAGCAAGCCCTTGAGGAATACAGGAGGGCCACTACAGATCCCACCAGAATAGCCTGGCAGACAGATGTTCCCTAGGACAGGAAGAAATAAAGCGAGTTTTAATACAGAGCCGTGATGTTCTTCCCTGTTCCCTTAAATGCATGAGCAGCTGTGCAGGCAAGAATGACCCAGAACATTTGTATGTTGTTGCTAAAATATTCAGAGCTGGGTAAGAGCTTTCTCATGTGATGAGTTCATTGCAGGAGCCACACAGCAAGAGCTGCCTGGAAGCAGGGAAGGATCTGAAGCACTGGAGTGTCCCTGGCAGGACTTTGTCAGTCAGCTCCAAATTGGGGGTCCAGGGAGATGCTGTTCCTGCTGCTCCCTGCCTTCCTCTGGGAATCTCCAACAACCAACCAGCAGGAAAATCAACTTCTGCTTCACAGCCCAGACCCTGCAGAGGTGTTCACTCTGCCCTTTCACTTGCAGCCACCCAGCATCCCAACACTGCACACAGTGTTGGTGTAGGAAAGAAGCTCAAGTATTTGGGGTGGGCAGAAAGACCCAGAGCTTTATTCCCAGTACCTGAAGGGAGCCCACAGCAAAGATGGAGAGAGACCATTTACAATGGCCTGGAGGGACAGGACAAGGGAATGGCTTCAAACAGACAGAGGGCAGGGTTAGATGGGATATTGGGAATAAATTCTTGGTTGTGAGGGAGGAGAGGCCCTGGCCCAGGGTGCCCAGAGAAGCTGTTGCTGCCCCTGTATCCCTGGAAGTGTCCAAGGCCAGGCTGGATGAGCTTGGAGCAGCCTGATCTAGTTAAAGGTAACCCATGGCAGGGGGTTGGAACCGAATTTAAGATCCATTCCAACTCAAGCTATTCAGGAATGCTGAGACAAACCAGGCTTTGTTAAATCCATCCATGAATCCCTTTAATGGCTGCTGGGAGGCAGCAAGCGACAGTGAGGGGCAACCACCCTTCAACACCTGAGCTGCCTTTGTGTTTAAGCAGAGAATCTGCTGGGAAAGCTCATCCCACTGGTCTGCTCCACATCCCAGCTCTATTCTCCTAGATCTGGAGCTCAGGACAGTGTCTTGAGAGAGTCAGCAGGAGAGAGGTGACAACAGACAAGTGACAGCCCAGCACACATCCTGCTGCCACTGGAAGCTGAGCCTGGGATCCTCAGGCCAGCACAATGAGGCACAAAGGCTGCTGAAGCACATCTCCAGCTCCCAAGGACCCCAGGACAGGAGCTGGCTGCAGTCCAGCCTCCTTCCCACAGCTCCAACGCTCCCACCTTCAGTGTGGGGGCAGCAGCCTCCAGCCCTGCTGTGTGCCTTTGAGTTCAGGGGCAGGGCAACCTTCTGGGGCATCTGTGTAACATTTCTGCTCATCCCCAGCCTGTTTCTGCAGCAATTTCCCCAACACAACATCAGAGGATGCCCCCGAGGCAGGGGAGGGAGGCAGAGACCTTCAGCAGACAGCCAGGATGAGTATCCAAGTGGAGAGCAGAGGCTTCCCTGGAGCACGTTGTACACAGCCTAGGGGCAGCCTCGGGCATGTGAGCAGAGGAAGTTCCAGCACTGGGGGAACTGGGTGAGTTAATGAGTGTCCAGAGCCAGTCAGAGCTGGATACCAGGCCCAGGCCAGCAGGGATGTGAGCAGCTTCTCTGCCCCTGCCTCACTGCAGATCTGGATGCAACCTGCAGCCTCTGGACAGCTGTCACTGGAGCCAGGCAGGACACCAGACCCAGCCCACACCCCCAGGATTCCAGGAAGCCACCAATGCCCTCTGCTGCTTAAGGAGCCAGACATCTCCTACAGAAAGCCTCACCTTCAGCTGACTATGCTCAGGTGCTCTGGTTTTTCCTCTAAATGTTTCCAGGCACTCAAGTGGACACTGACTGCAGCCTCCTGCCACACTGCTGGTGGCTTTTCCACTTTCCTATCTGCTGGAAAAGAGCTGTGTGTGTTCAGACCCTCACCTGTCCTGCTTTGGGACAGGACCTACAGCAACTTCTGCTCCCATTCCAAAACGCTCATCTCATCCTACCCAAGCAGAGTCCAGCTAAAGCTGGATTTCTGGGGGATTCCCTTTGCAGGGAATCATGACACACCTGCTACAGGTAAAATACACAACCAAAACTGCATCTGCTGCTCTGAGAGAACCCTCTCTTCAAGGCAAACCCGAGATTTTCTATGCCTGAAAAGCAGAAGCAGCTCAAAAATCTGTTATGCCAAAGCTGCAGCCAAAGTATTCCCCTAAAACATGCAGGAAACATCACTCCCACAGCAGGAGCATGCACTTTGTGAAAGGGAGGAATCCAAGAGTTGCCACCTCCACACTGGAAGGAGAATTTGAGCAAAAGCAGCTCAGGTGCCACCAGGCCAGCGCTGCCCTGAGCGAGCACACCCAGATCCAGCTGAGCAGTCCCAGTGGGAATTCCCGAGGCATCTACCCACCTTGGACTCGAGGTAGACATTGGCTGAAGACATCTTTCCCAGTTTGCACATGCAGCAGGCCAGGGAGATGGCACAGAGGATGAAGAGGCTGTCGTTGACCAGAGCCCGGGCCAGGACCGTCCACCTCAGCTGCTTCTCCGGGACCTCGCCGTGGATCAGCATTGCACAGGTTAAATTCACAACCAGGAACAGGAGGCTGGTGAGGATGGAGCCCAGGTACAACAGGACCCTGGAGACATGGTGAGGGGGAAAACGGTCAGGGAGACAAGCCCAGGTTCACTCTGCACCTCCCTCCTGTCTCAGCAGAGCCTCCCAGGGCTCTGCTTGCTGGGAAGCTCAGGCATTCCAGCAAATTTCAGGGGTTGTATTGGCAGCCCAAGGCTGCAGAGGATTTGTTGGAGCTGCTCTCATAACACATGAGCAGCGTAAGCAGTCATGAGTTACAAGACTCATCTTCTGACAGTCAGGTTCTTATCTTGCAGATTTTAAGTGTTGCTCCAGCTCTGCATTAACTCCAGTCAATAAGCCATGAGTCATCACAACCACTGCAACTCCTTTCTTGAGAGCCACTGGAGCTTGCATTTTCCACCCTGGGTTTCCCTGGGAAGCACCTGGGCTGCACAAACCTGGGGCTCACCCAGTGCTCAGGTCTTTTTCTGCAGGTCTTTCCTGGGCTGGGATAGCTCAGAGTGACCCTAGGAGTCCACCCAGGGCAACTGGGATGGTTGAGCTCCTCTGGCACCCCTGAAGCTCCCAGTCCTGCTCCAAGGTGCAACTCTGCTCCTTTCTCAGAGCACAGCTATGGAATTAGAGCTCTGATCAGCTTTTGGGGCCTGACCCTCCCATTCCCAGCCAGTTCCCCTGGGACCAGCTTTGAAGGGAAGGTCAGGACAGCAGCACTTACTTGTACTTGTTGAATTCAGCTGCACATTTCACTTTGAATATGACCTGGAGGAAAGATTTGCACAGGGTTACTTTAGGTTTTACTTCCTTTCAACTTTGTCAAGAGATAAACAGGGAAGTCAGAATCCAGCTGACATCTGCAAGGACTCTGGATTATTTATTAGCACCAGCTCTTGCTCTGGACCCAAAAGAATGGTACTTTTTCCCTGTACAAGCCCAGCCCAAATACAGGTTCCCAACAACCATAAACATATTTAACACCCCATATGTGACAAGCACTAACACCACACCTTGAAGACTTCAAGAAAAGAAGGGAGTTTAGCACTTCAACGTCCTTCAAAAATACATCTCCTTTTCCCAGTGTTTTGGGCTATTTTAGGACCTCAGCCATGCTGGATTTCCATGTGAGAGGAGCAGGGACAGTTTAGGAAGGTGCAGATACTCCCAAGTCACAGCTCAGATGTGAATTCCTCTGCAAAGGCACAGGGAACCAGTGCTCACACTGCTCAGGAACTGGGATGTGTCCAGCTCCAGGTCCAGACCCCACCAGGAAGGATCCCAGAGCTGGGTCACACTCAGCCCCAGGCAAAGCTCATGTCCTGATTGGAGACTTTGAGGGAACCTGGGAAGAGGCACAGACACATCCAGAGCGATCCCACCTGTACTTGTGGGATCACTGCACAGCTGTGGAGGTTCAGTTTCCCTTCTCCCACAAGGAGTCTTCCCTGTCACCAGTGAAGGATCACTCATCTCCTCTCAGGCATCCTCAGGCTGCTTTTATCCTGGTGGGATTCCTTGGCTCCTGCTTCCAAGCCAGCACTGAGGTAGAAATGGCACATGAGCTTCAGGAATCAGGCTGCTGCCAAGGCGATTTCCAGAGACATTTCAGGATCTGAGGGCTGTCTGAGCCACTGCAGTGGTTCCAAGCATTTCAAAGGACACTGGACAGCTTCAGTGATTCTCTTCCAAGAGCCACTTCCACTGCCTGGCTCCTCTTCCCGAGGCTGAGGAAGGATGAGCTTAACTTAGTGAGGAATGAGACATGGCTCTTCAGCAGAGGGAGGTATCCAGCCTCAGGAATGTTCTCTGTCCCCTTGTCCTGGCACACAGAAGTACAGGAGTGTGGCACAACCCACTCCAAGCCCTACAACTCATCTCAGCTAAAAGAAACTGAGCCTTGGGAAGAGCCACGTGGTGACTCCAAAACAGAAATATCCCTGAATCCTCCCTTGTTTGCTGTGGGTGACATTCAGGCACTTTGGGAGTGTCATGGAATCACTGAATCACTGAGGCTGGAAAAGCCCTCCAAGGTGAAGTCCAACCATTAATCCAGCACCACCACATTCATGCCCTGAAGTGCCACATCCACAAGTTTTTTGAACACTCCAGGGCTGGGGACTGCACCACTGCCCTGAGCAGCCTGTTCCAACACCTCACCACCCTCTCAGAGAAGAATTTTTTCCTAACATCCACTTAGGATCTAAATATTCCCTGGCACAACTTGAGGCTGTTTCCTCTTGCCCTGACAAAACAGGCATTGGTGACATCCAGCTGGGAAACTCCTGGTTCAGCACCCATTCCAGCAGCATGGAAATCCACTGAGGAATCTGCACTCCTGCTCTATGAACAGCCTTGCAGAGTCCCCAGCTCGTATTCCAGCTGGGAATGTTGTGTTGTCAGCTGAGAACAGCCCCTCAGCTGAGCAGGGAAGTGCTCCTGGCTCTCAGAAGATGCTGTTTTGGGCAGGACACTCTTCCCAAACCCTCCCCTGCAGCCCCAGGGATGAAGGCACACAAAGCTGAGTCAGGGTTAAGAGTGCAACAGCAATTTGAGCCTCATGCTTGGCCCACTGCCATGGAAAGCAGAGGGAGACCACAGCTCCAGCCTTACACTTTTATTAGCCCCTGGATAGTTATTCCTATAACTTCAGGAAGGGAACAGCCACCACTGCTTGGGTGGTTTTGGTTATTAAGGCTGATAAGTTATCTGAAGGCTGCTTTTCCTTCCCAGGGACTGGGTCAGGAGGTGCCACCAGCAGAGTGCACAGGGCGTCTCTGGGTTCTTATCCTTGAGATGAGCCCTGAGCCTCCTGCACGGGGCTCTGCTGCTCCCAGAGCCCAAGGACAGCTCAGGCAGAGGGTTCTGCTGTGAAAAATCCAGCACAGAGAGCTCAGGAGCAATCCTGTTCTTCAGAAAAACAGGAAAAATAGATCCCCGTGCTCCAGCAAGTGCATTAGGCCAAGCTGTGAGCAGCAATCCTTGCAAACTGAACAGTTCCTTCAAATCTGAGCTGAGCCCAGCTCCAGAAATCAAGCATGAAAATAGGGAACAGAGGTCTCAGCAGCACAGAGCAGCAGGACTGGCAAGTTTTTTTTACTCTGAATAAGTCTTTCACAGCAGTTTGGAATACTCAGGTGCCTCTCCAGAGCCATGGATCCCTTGAGCACTCCACATCAGCCAGAAGGTGAGGCTGAAATGAGCTACAGACCCCAAAGCCCTCCGTTGATGCTGGAGGTTTTTGGGTGGGTTTATCCCAAAAAAGTGATTTCCTTGCTCACATCACAGCCTTCCCTGGCACAGGGTGTGTTCAAGGGTGTGTTCAAGGGACACACTCACCCTTAGAAGGTGCACTGGAGGTGTCACAGCTGCTAAGGGAAGAAAAGTGACACATCCCAGATCCCACAGATGAATCCAAGGACCACTCCCAGTGCCTGCACAAGGCAGGATCTTAAACCTTACAGTGAGGCACTTAGGCTGGACCAAAACCAAGCTACTTTTCAGCAGACCTGAAAGATCCAGGAATTTGTTGCTGTCCACTGGAATCAAATTTTGTTGCTTCATAAAGACAACATGAATTTGGGCTCTGCAGACACAAGACACAACCATGCCTTGCCCCAACACAGCTCAGCTGCAGGAGCATCCCCAGACAGATCCCCCTCCTCACCACATGAGATAATGGGATCACAGCACAGACTATTTTGGGATCACACCTCGTACCAAGTGTGCAAACCCCAGCTTCAACCCACAAGGGAAAAGCTGTCCATGAGGATCTCTCACCCTCCTCATATTAATATCCAGATCATTCCATGCCATCCTGAACACAGGCTGCAATTCTGCATGTTCCCTCCTTTCCTAGAATAGCTGGTCCCCAGCAGGGCCACCTGTTCATCTGGGAAACATGGGAACCATGGGATGGAGCAGTTTGGAGTCTCAGTGATCCCTCAGCAGCTGTCCCTCCGAGGCACAGGGCACTGCCAGGTGTCTGCTACACAGGGAAGGTGAAAAAGGGAAATGAAGGATGGAGATTTTCCCAGTTTTCCAGCTGAGGAGGCAGGAAGATGCAGGACAGCAAAGACAAACATCTCCCAGGCTGGATGCTCTCTCCATGCCTGTGTCCAGTGCAATTAGAGCAGGAAGGGATAAAGGAGCTGATGTCATCTCCTCACATGGAGCACTCAGAGCAAGCCAGGCAGGTGAAGGGCTCTGGCCACACCATCAGCCCCACCAGTTCAGCATTCCTTACCCATCCCTGTGCCAGCTGCTGACTCCCAGGACAACCAGGGGTGCCAAGGGCTCAAGAAGGTCTTGAAGATTGTTGTGGCTGCATTTCACAGAATCGTTTGGGTTGGAGAAGACCTCCAAAGCCATCAGGTCCAAGCTGTGCTTGATTCCCACCTTGTCACAAGCCCAGAGCTCTGAGTGCCACCTCCAGGGGTTCCTTGGGTACCTCCAGGGATGGGAACTCCAAACCTCCCTGGGCAGCTCCTTCCAATGCCTGACAACCCTTTCCATAGAGAATTTTTCCCTAATATACCATTTAAACCTCCTCTGGCACAGCTTGAGGCCCTTTCCTCTTGTCCCTTGCTCCCTTGGGAGCAGAGCTTAAGCCCCCCTGGCTGTCCCCTCCTGTCAGGGAGCCCTGCAGAGCCACAAGGTCCCTCCTGAGCCTCCTCTTTTCCAGGCTAAATACCCTGAGCTCCTTCCATGTACTTCCATGTACCATGCTCCTGACAAAGACCTGGGGAAAAGCAGAAGTTGCAGACTTTGGGAAAGGTGACATTGTTCAAGCAGCTGGCAGCACAGGAGCTATTCCAAAGGCAAGGCAAAGGAGCATCCCAGGTTGGATGTCAGATCTTGAGGCAAGACTGGGAGTGGATCTGAATAATTCTGACCTGATGGACTGTGAACTCCAGACTGCCAGGAAAGGACTCCTTCTGGTACAAGATGAAGTAGAAAGGAAGAGATGCTCACAAGCTAAAGGGATGTTCCTGGTGGAAAAAGTATCCCAAGGAAGCCTACAGGAGAGCTGGAGAGGACAAGAGCATGGAATGAAAGGGAATGGCTTCCCACTGCCAGAGGACAGGGATGGATGGGATATTGGGAAGGAATTCCTGACTGGGAGAGTGGGCAGGCCCTGGCACAGGGTGCCCAGAGCAGCTGTGGCTGTCCCTGGATCCCTGGCAGTATCCAAGGCCAGGCTGGAGCAAGCTGGGACAGTGGAAGATGTCCCTGCCACGGCAGGGGTGGAACTGGATGAGCTTTAAGGTCCTTTCCAAACCAAAGCCTTCTGGGACTCTATGAAAAATAAATACATATCCCACACTGATTCTGTGAGGTCTCTGCATTCCCTCAGGGATCTCAGGGACCAAGATGGGATAGGAAGAGAAAAACCTGTCCCCACAAAAAGGAGGAGCATCAGGCATTTTAGCAAATTTGAATTTCAGCCCTGAAACAGCCTGGAATGTTAAACAATACCAGTTCTCCACAGGTATATGTTTCCTGGAGCTTCTTCCCCAGCACCATTCCATCCTCAGCCTCTGTGCTGCCTGAGGAGCTCTGTAAATCAAGCAAGAACAGCTCAAATATCAGCACAGGCCATTTTCTTGCCCAGATGCCATTTCTCCAGCATCTCCACAAAGGAGGCTCTGTGTACAGGGACAATGAGCCAGGCCCTCAGCACAGCAGCAGCCCCTGCTTTTATCAGAGGACATCTCAGATCAGGATGCCACCCCCAGGGCAGCAGAAGCTCAGTGTCCTTCCACAGGCTGCTGCCAAGTGGTCCTTAAAAACTGGGAATGGATGGGCACGTTCTGCTGGATCACACCAGCCTAAATCATGGGAGCCAGAAAAGCCCCAGGCTTTCCATCTTTTTTCTCCAAACCTCTTGAGCTTCACCACTGAGATCTCCCAAAAAAACCCACGGAGTGATGGACACCCCTCCTGGTTGTTCCAGGGAAGTGTCAGGCCCTCCCTGGAGCTGAGCAAGCAGACCCATTTTCATAAGTCACTTTATCCTTCCCCACTCCAGATTCAGAGCTCTTATTTCCTCAGACAGGATTTCCCTTGGCTCTAGGTCTTCAAGGAGAAAGAAGTGGGATATATGCAGAGTTCATTGAAAAACAGATATCGTGGGAGGAGGAGAAGCCTGGGAATCTGTTTGGATTTACTTTAAGAGGACCTTTAAACAAGCCTGCAGAGAGGCAAATCTGCTGTCAAATCCAGTGACCTAGAGGAAAACAGAAATCCAGCCACTCTGTGGAGCAGAGCACAGAATCCCTGCCTTTCAAGGGACACCAACCCCTCCTGGCTGGAGCAACTGGGAGGTCAGGCTCCCTTAAGCAGACAAAATGGATTTGTGCACTCTCTGCACCATTTGTTATTCCACTGCCACTCCATCAACAACACCTTCTGCAACAGGCAGCTCACCCCCAAAGCCTCCAGGTGTTTATTGGGGGGGGATGAAAGGGGGGAAAAGAAGAAGAACAACAGAACAACCCCAGTGCTCCAAGTGTCATGTGAATGCTGGTGTCCTGGGGAAAATGAAATCATAACTCCCGTGGGTGACACATCGGAGCGACGGAGAGATTTCTGTGCGCTAGCCATTCCTTTGTGAGGCTGGGGAACAGCTGAGAGCTGCAGAGCAAAGAATCCCAACAACAACAACAAAGCTGGAAGGAAAAAGTGGTGACTTGTTTCATAAATAGGCAGCGAACCGGGAGGCAGGCGAGCAAAGGGCTGCTCAAGAGAAACTGGAGCAGAAACAAAATATTCAGGAGGAGGATGGGGAGGGGAGAGCCAGGGCTTTAGGAGATAAAGGCAAGTGGAAGGACTAAGGAAAGGAGGCTAAAAATCACCACACGAGCGATGGGAAACGCAGAAAAGCGGGGACACATCCCGGTGACAATAACAAGCGGCTCCGCACTGTCCCGGCAGCGATGCTGGCGCTGGGAAGGGGCCCCCCTGGGCTGCCCCGGGCTGTTGTGTGAGGGATCTCGGGTTTTTTTTTGTCTGACAAGCTGCGGAACAACAAGCCCGGCTCGCAGCGGAGCGATGGAGGGAAGGAGGGAGCGCAGCAACAATAGCAGAAGAGGCTCTGGCTGGTGACGTAATGGTTGGCATCACTCCAGGCCAGAGCAGCCCCTGCTGCTGCCACTTTCTGGTCCTCTTTGCACAAGGGGAATCAATTAAAAAAAAAAAAAATAATAAAAGATGCAAAACAGTCCATCAAGTGATGCCCCCGCCCCACACACACACATACAAACACCCCGCGGTGGGTCTGGGCTGCAAAGAGGAAAAGCCCACCTGGGAGCAGGGCATCTCCCTGCACACCCCCAAATCCCAAATTCAGGGCATGTGGCTGTCCCCCCCGTGCGGGGTCTGCAGTCAGGGTACAGCCCTGCACCCCAAAGCCCTGATGCTGGCATTCTGGGCACACTTTTAGCCCACACCATCCCCCCCAAATCCCACCCCGCCCCCCCAGTTGGATTCAGGGCACAATCCCTGTGCTTCTCCCCAAGCCTGGATTCAGGGCACAATTCCTTGTGCCTCCCCCCCGAGCTTGGATTCAGGGCACAACCCCCGCATCCCCCCAGGCTGTCCCAAAGTCTGGGATCAGGGCACAATCCCTGAGCCTCCTTCCCAGCCGGGATCGGGGGCGCAGCCCCGCATCCCCTCAGGCTGTGCCGACGCCTCCAGCCAGGGCAGCCCCCAGGATCGCCCCTCACCCTCACCTGGGCGCTCCCATCCCCAAAAGCCTCGCCTCCAGGGCGCTCCAAGTTTGGAGAGGCGGCTGAAGAGGAGCTTCCAGCCCCGCTGTCCCGCAAGGGTGGAGGTTTGGGAAAGAGAATTTTGGAGGGGTTTTGCCTAAAAGGCAAAACTTACCTCGGCGAAATAGAGGTTGAGGAGGCAGAGGCTGGAGAAGAGGAGGCAGCCGGGCAGGCAGTACAGGAGCCAGTGGGCGAAGGGCTGCTGGAGGCGGAGGGCCTGCAGGGAATTCTGCAGGTAGAAGGAGAACAGGGTGGTCCTGAGGGCTGCCCAGAGCAGGCAGAGGAAGAGGCAGAGCGTGTGGTAACTCAGCCGCCGCTCGCGGTAGTAGAGCAGCAGCCAGAGCTGCAGGTAGGCGAAGAGGAAGAGCGCGGCGTAGAGCGCCGTGTGGAGCACGGTGAGCCCCAGCTCCACGGCGTAGGGCACGGCTGCCCCCTCAGCGAGGGCCATGGGGCAGCGGGAGGCACCGACCCCCTCCCTGCCTTCCCTCAGCCCCGGCTGGACACCCCCATGCAACAAAGGGGAGACCCCCCCCCTCTTTTCCCCTTCTCCTTCTTCTTCTCCTCCTCCCGCCCGCCCGGCTGCACAGCCCGCCCGCCCGCCGCCAAACAACTCCGTGCCGGGGACAGCCGGCTGAGCCCGCTGATTTGAGGGGCGGCGGCGCGCGCTCCCCATTGGCCGCCTGCCGGCCACGCCTCTCGCCGCGCCCACCCGCCGCGCCCACTGGCCGGCGCTGCCTGTCAATCACCCGTGCGACGCCCCCGCCTCGCCGCCGCTTTGCTTGTTGGGTTGGCGGCGCCGCCCGCCCGCCATCCTTCTATCCCTGAGAGCCGGTGAGGGGTGAGAGAGAGGGACGGTGAGAGGGGAGAGAGGGTGAGAGAGGGAGCGGGGCGCGAAGGGCTGAGGGGGGCCGTGAGGGGAGCGCTGAGGAGCCTCCCGGAGGAGCCTCCCGGAGGAGCCGGGGGGATCTGGGCACCCCCGCAGGCGGAGTCGGGCTGCGGGGACATCCCCGCTTCAGGCTCTGTGGGGATGTCCGGGTGTCGCTCAGGGGCCGGGAACATCCCGGTTGCAGGCTGGGCTGTCCGGGTGTCGCTCAGGGAACATCCCGGTTAGGGTGAGAGAGGGAGCGGGGCGCGAAGGGCTGAGGGGGGCCGTGAGGGGAGCGCTGAGGAGCCTCCCGGAGGAGCCTCCCGGAGGAGCCGGGGGGATCTGGGCACCCCCGCAGGCGGAGTCGGGCTGCGGGGACATCCCCGCTTCAGGCTCTGTGGGGATGTCCGGCTGTCGCTCAGGGACCGGGAACATCCCGGTTGCAGGCTGGGCTGTCCGGGTGTCGCTCAGGGACCGGGAACATCCCGGTTGCAGACTGGCCTGTCCGGGTGTCGCTCAGGGACAGGGAACATCCCGGTTGCAGGCTGGGCTGTCCGGGGGTCGCTCAGGGAACATCCCGGTTGCAGGCTGGCCTGTCCGGGTGTCGCTCAGGGAACATCCCGGTTGCAGGCTGGGCTGTCCGGGTGTCGCTCACGGACCGGGAACATCCCGGTTGCAGACTGGCCTGTCCGGGTGTCGCTCAGGGACAGGGAACATCCCGGTTGCAGGCTGGGCTGTCCGGGTGTCGCTCAGGGACCGGGAACATCCCGGTTGCAGGCTGGGCTGTCCGTCTGTCGCTCACGGCCCGTCTGTTCCTTCCATGCAGGCGGCCATCCATCCCTGTGGCTGCGGGCACAGCTCAGGCAGCCGCGCTGCCATCCCCTGGAGCCCCTGGATACCGAGAGGCCTCGCTGGGCTCAGGGATCGCTTCCCCCGGCTGGCACAGACCCACCGGGGCTGGTTTGGGCATCCCGGCTTTTCCAGCCGTGCAGCCGGGGCCGAGGGACGCCGCGGGGCGGGATGCTGTCCCAGCAGCGCGGAGCAGCGGTGAGGACATCGGCCTGAACCCTCGGGACACCGGGTAGGTGACAGCCCTGAGCCGTCCGCGGCTTGCCGAGTGATGTGCACCCAGTGCCGGCTGCTTTCCAGGGATTTCCAGGGGCTGGTTCTCAAGGACAGACTGAATGGGGCAGCAGCAGCAGCAGTGGGTGATGCTGGTTCCTCCAGGGAAGTGGTGGAATTCAGCGGGTGGAGATTCCAGCATGTGGTGATGCTGTCAGGGAAGTGGTGGATTCACACAAACCGTGTGCATGTGGCACTTGGGGACACGGGTTTGTGGTGGGGGAATGGTTGGACTCTGAGAGGTTTTCTCCAGCCTGTGTGATTCCATGCTGCAGGCTGTGTGCTGTGCACGGGAATCAAAGCCCTCCTCTCCTGGCGTGGGCAGAGATAAAAGGCTGCACCATGTCCCTCCTGCAGGCTTGGATAGCAAGTGAGACCTAGCTGCTGGGAAGTTGGACCTGGAAATGAAAATGAAAGTGAAACTCTTCTGGAAGTGGCAGGATAAATGGCAGCATGCAAAAAATCCAGACAAAGCACACTGAACAACAGGCTGGGATGCACTTGGATGTTCCCAGAAAAGGATCCCTGTGCATCAGGATGCTCCCACAGCTGCCCCTGTAGGCAGCAGGGAGATGCAGTGAGTGCAAAGGGCTGGTGGTTATTTCACTCCCATAATTGCAGGTTCATCCCAAAGCTCTGGAGAAGCATCTCAATGTTATCCCAGCTCCAAGTGCTGGGGAATTGCAGCTCCACCACTCTACTCAAATCAGTTGTGTCCAAGAACTTGCCTTTGGAAAATTTGAAAGGAGTTGGGGTTGAGCTCTGTGCCAGCTAATTGGGTGATGATAATGAACCTGTGATAATTGTCATGGGTCTGTGGTGGTCAACTTGTTGGTTGTGTAGGAAAAGTCTGGAGCAGGGAAGGGATTGTGTAGTGAAAAATATGAAAAGTCAGTATAATTCCAGGCAAGGAATCATGGTTTTGGTTGGAAGGGACCTTAAAACTCACCCAGTTCCACCCCTGCTATGGCAGGAACACCTTCCACCATCCCAGGCTGCTCCAAGCCCTGTCCAGCCTGGCCTTGGACACTTCCAGGGATCCAGGGGCAGCCACAGCTGCTCTGGGCACCCTGGGCCAGGGCCTGCCCACCCTCCCAGCCAGGAATTCCTTCCTAATCTCCCATCCATCCCTGCCCTCTGGCAGTGGGAGCCATTCCCCTGGGGAATGGTTGAACTCAGTGATCTTAAAGGGCTTTTCCAACCTTAAGGATTCTGTCATTCTTCTGGATCACCTAAAGGAAACTTGTTTGCATGGACAAAAATGCAGGAAGAGCTGTCAGTGTTCCTCTCTGCCTTGCATTTTGGAGCAGCAGCAGGAGGGATATTTGTGCTGGGACATCCAGGTGAGCTGGAGAAAGAACTTCAGCCTGTCCATCCTGCTGGAGCTGAGGGATTGAGCCCACCCCCACATGGGTTTGGGGTCTGGTTTGTGTCTTCCCTGCCAGGAAATTTGGGAGAGCAGCTCCCTGGCTAAGTGCTGCCAGAAGGGCATGGAAGGCAGGTGAGATTCCTGCCAAAAATCTGTGCCAGCAGGGTGTGGGGTGAATGTCCTGCTGCAAAGAGAGCCCTGGTTTGGGTCAATCAGCACAGGAGAGCTTGAAGTGATTCCATTTAGGAGCATCCTAAATGCTCCAGGTTTAGGAACATCTACCTAGGGAGGTAAAACTGCCCAGCTGAGGCCTCTGCAGGCTGGGAGAGGATGGAAGGGGATAAAATTAACAAGGAGCAACAGGGTAGTGCATTTTTGGGGAAACCCTGGCCCAGGGTGCCCAGAGCAGCTGTGGCTGCCCCTGGATCCCTGGAAGTGCCCAAGGCCAGGCTGGATGGGGCTTGGAGCAACCTGGAATGGTGGAAGGTGTCCCTGCCCATGGCTGGGTTGGAACTTTGTTTTTTTAAGGTCCCAACCCATTCTGGGATTCTGTGGTGATATTTGGACAAGACAAAGTGTAGGTTTTACATCACTGGCATTAAAGTCCAGGCTGGTGGTTTTTTACTGAGCCCAAGGAAGCCCCTGGATGGTGGAGGTGGCTCCAGCTGGCTGGGCAACCCATAATTCTGTAGGACAGCACTTCTTCCTTGTCCTGTGACTCCTAAATCCCACCCCACAACACTCTCCTGTGGGATTATGTTTTTTTTCTCACTCAGAGATGTGGTAATTGAGAGGTGTTTTAAAAGCTTTCTTTTTATTTTTAGTTATAAGTGAAGGGTGAGATCATACAGATGTTATAATTTATGTTATTGTAATTAGAAGTGAACTATTTCTTAATTATGTAAGTGTATTTTAGCTTATTGGTTTTTGTTACACTATGTTGTAAATGTGTTAAAGTTAATTGTTTAAAATTGCCCCTCGTGGGTCTTGCTACAATGCATTTTTTTACAGTTTTATTTTTCTAAAGTATTTAGTCTTATTTGTAAGGTTATGTTTTGAAACTTGTTTCCAGTTTTATTTTTTTTTAATAATGTTTGTTTTATTTTATGATATTTTTAAGTTAGTATTTCTCATTTTAAGGTGTGTATATAAATATATATTATATAAACCTTCTATCAAACCTTGAAAATTTTTTATAAATTTATTTTTTACACCTTCCTGTGAGGAAGCTGAGCTTCCTCAGTGATAAATCTTGGCAGCTGAGATCTGTGTGAGGAAAAGTGTCATGGAAAGCAGCTGGGATCAGAGGTGATCCCAGCCCATGGACTCCACTGCAGGATTCCCAAACAAAACTGATGTGGCACAAGCAATTTCTGCCCCCACAAGAGTTTGGGCTGGATGTCTCTGGTGGATTTGGTTTCACTTCAGGTCACCTACAGTGACCTCAACCACCTTGCCTGGCTCTGCCTTGGAATGGTGACAGTGGAAACACGAGCCAGGCCTGGCATTCCCTCAGTGCTGTGCTAGGCTGCTCCTTGTCCATGGGCTGAAGGTTTCCCAGCAGTGACACCGAGCTGGTTCACGCATCCCTGCTATTTTCACACATCTCTGGCAATCCTGCAAGGGTCAGTGGTGCAGGGTTCTGGCTGCTTCCAGCCCTAGGGGGTTTATTTTCCACTGATGGGAAAGAGGTGACAGGGGAAATGGCCTAAAAGCTGAATGTTCAGGTCTGGCTTGGTGGGGAGCAGAGGGAAGCTGCTGGGCAGGATGGAGTGGTGAGGAGCTGAGAGGACTTGGGCAGGGAAGGGGATGAGAACACATTTTTCACTGGACCCCAGAATGTTTTGGGTTGGAAGGGACCTTAAATGCCATCTCATTCAAGCCCCCTGCCATGGCAGGGACACCTCCCACCATCCCAGGCTGCTCCAAGCCCTGTCCAACCTGGCCTTGGGCACTTCCAGGGATCCAGGGGCAGCCACAGCTGCTCTGGGAATTCTGTCTCAGCCCCTCCCTACCCTCCCATAGGAATTCTTTCCCAATCTCCCATCCATCCCTGCCCTCTGGCAGTGGGAAGCCATTCCCTGTGTCCTGTCCCTCCATCCCTCGTCCCAGGTTGCTCTCCTAGAACCCCCTTAGGCACTGGAAGGGGCTCTGAGCTCTCCTTGGGGGCTGGAATTATGTTTTAAAGTGCTGACCCTCTCCTCCAGATATAATCCTGTGACATCTTTGAGCCCTTGGAGGCTGCTCCTCTTCCCTCTTGACAGTGAGCTCTCCCATTTGACCTGGGTTGGTTCCCACGTGCCAGGATTGTGTTTATTTTTCCATCCTGCCGTAGCCAAGTTTGTCATTTAATAAACATCACCCCCCCAGCCTGATCCCTGTCCCCTCTGTAAGCCAGGGGAACAGATGGGAGGGCACAGGACCAGAAATGCCTGACACTGCCCAAAGCTGGAAAGGAGACAACTGGAGATTTTGAGATGAAAAGAAAAAAAAATGAATGTGCTTCCAGCTCTGTCGTGCCTTCAGGCCTGATCCAAACCCCTCAGCTCCTGGAGAAGGAGTGAATGTGCCCTGTCAGTAGCTCCTCACTCCTGGAGCATGGCAGAGGATCTTTCCCTGCTTGTTTTTGGAGTGTTTGAGCTTGGGTTGATCCCAGGGCAGCCGTGGTGAGCTGACAGCCTCTGCCAGGCTTGGAGGAGTGACAGCCCTTGGACACAGGGGTGTTTGTTGAGGGAAGCAGCTGCAGCTCGTGATGTAAATTCTGCATGGATTCAGTCCCAGCTTTGTCCCTTTGTTGAGCAGGGAGCAGCCATGCTCCAGCAGCAGAGAGCAATCCCTGAGGAGCAGGCTGGCAAGGAATGGAGTGGGAACAAGGTGGCTTCTCATCCTTTAACCTCCTCACATCACCTGCCGTGGACTGGAGTGAGCAGAATCCCAAAATCGCAGATTGGTTTTGGTTGGGGGGGACCTTAAAGATCATCTTGTTCCATCCCAGGGGCAGGAAAAAATATGCACTTAATGAATGTATTCTCTGAGGAAGTCAGGGTGGCTACCAAGAAGTAGCAAAATCAGTAGCCAGAAGCAGAAAAGATTTTACAGAAGTCTGACTTATTGCTATGCATATTTTAGGTCAAGGGTAATCTGATTTTTTAATTAATCCTCTAAAGGTTAAATTGTATAGAATGTCTGATCACAGAGTAAAGAAAAAAACCCAGCAGTATATACAAAAATAGCATCCATTTAAGTTACATAAATCCTTATAAATATAAGAGAGAAATCAGTTATTCTATAAAAAAAAATAATTTGGAACATGTGTTCCTGAAGCACCAGCAGAACATCCTCATGCTAAGGACTTCAGCTAGAAAATCTTTATAAATATACCTGCAAAATTCTTCCTCACTCTGACCAAAAACAAGTGCCAGAAGATGCACGTTTCTATTTTGCACTGAAACAGGAGCTCTCCTATTTGAATCTCAAATGGCCATTGGGTTTTTGGCAAGCACAGCACGTCCCATCCCTTTGCAAACACCTTTCAGGGCCACATCAATTCTGCTGGCATCCTCGAGGCTTTGTAGCAGGAATTGAGACAGTTTGGGCGGGGGTTTGTGGATGATGCTGTCACTGCTTTGATGCCTGTGCATGGAATTTTTGTTTGACTCAAAAGAAATAAAGAGGAGGGAGGAAAACCAGCCCTAAGCTGAAAGCACTGAGGGTCTGTGCACTTGAAGGTGCCACTCAGAGGGAAGAGAGTGGCCTCTGCTGTCCACTTTGCACTTGTCTGAGTCACCTGTGGATTGAGTGACTAATTCATAATATCCTCAAGATGTTTGTGTTGTATTAATAATAATTTCCACAGTTGGAAATTACAGTCATGTAACAGAGACTAAAACAGAGAAACACTCATATATGGGTTTGTGTGTGTTTATGTATTTTTTTTAATTATTTTTTCTCCCAGTTGTGACTCTCCTGTGCCTGTAGCTGGGAACAGCCATGCCAGCCCAAAAGGACAGATGGGTTTCTTCCTTGGTTTTCCTTCTCTTCTGTGCCTCCTCCATCCCACAATGTGGAAGTGCCAGCCTGCAGCAGGAGCCGAGCCCCCAGCACTATTTCAGTGGCTTGGAAGCTGGAAAACCATCCTTGGCTTTTTTCACCCCCAGTGGTACGTGTTTAGTGTGAGTTTCCATCAGCCTGGGGGCTCAGCAAGGCATGGTGAGAGTGGAACAATCACAGAATCATGGAATGGTGTGAGTTGGAAGGATCTTAAATCCCATCCTGTCCCATCCCCTGCCATGGCAGGGACACCTTCCACTATCCCAGGCTGCTCCAAGCCCTGTCCAGCCTGGCCTTGGACATTTCCAGGGATCCAGAGGCAGCCACAGCTTCTCTGGGAATTCTCTCTCAGCCAGGAATCCCTGGCAGTGGAAGCCATTCCCTGTGTCCTGTCCCTCCATCCCTTGTAAAGATGTCTCTTCATCTTCCTTGTTGGCTCCTTCAGGCACTGGAAGGCTGCAATTAATTCACCCCAGAGCCTTCTGTTTTCCAGCTCTCAGCCTTTCCTCTAGCAGAACTGCTCCATCCCTCTGATCCTCAGTGGATGGGCAGTTCTTGGGATTTTTAAACCCAAAGGGGTTTTGAAGAACTGGTCAAGTGTTGTGTTAGCACAATTCCAGTGCTCCTGACCTATTGGGATGGGTTCTTTCCTGGCTGTGTCCTCAGGCACAGTCCTTCAAACATCTTCATTCATTTTTTGGGTTATTTTCTGGAGGTATTCTGGAGGAGAAAGGCGATTTCCTAGGAATTTTCCCCTCTTCCATACTACCTGCTAGAAAAAGTAGGAATCCCTTTCATGAGGGAGAACTAGAGGCTGTCATGGATTAGGAGAAGACCCTTGACCTTGCTTTTGTTCTTCATGATTCCCTGGGTGTGATTTCCCAAAGACATTGGCATGGGCTGAGGAACACCTCCCACATCTCAGTGGGCTCAGGGCGATGCTCTTCACCCTGAGCACTTGCAGAGGATATTTTTTTTTTTTGTGTGTGTGTTTCAGTTTCTCCTGGTGCCCAGCCCTTCTTGGAGCAGATTGAGAGTTCAGCTGAGGCCCTCCAGGACTATGGTGTTTCTGTGGTGAAGGTAAATGGGGCTCAGGGAAGCTGCTGGGTGGGATGGATAAGTAGGAGATGAGCAGAGAAGGATCGGGCACAGATTTTTTCCTAGGATCTTGGACTCACAGAACAGCTTTGGCTTTCAGGGAGCTTAAAGCTCATCTCTTTCCACCTCACCTTCCATGGACAGGAACACCTTTCACTATCCTGGGTATCCCTGTCCAGCCTAGCCTGGAACATTTCCAGGGATGGAAAATCCCCAATTTCTCTGGGCAGCCTGTTCCAGTGTCCATGTTCCATGATGGATGAGGTTGGTTAACTTCTTTTCAGCTCAGTGCAATAAATATTTCATACAAAGGAGTTTTTAGCTGAAATTTTATGCAGATTCACGTGAGGGAATTAGAAATTCAGGCAAGTGTAATTAGACTCTAAGAAGTGCTTATATATTTATATTTGGATTTATTTAGTTTCCTCCAGCTACAGACCAAGTTCAGTAAGGAAGCACTGATCTGTCACTTTGAATATGCTGGGCAGATCATGGTGTCCTTTGATCCCATCTGACCCAAATCAGCAGGCTTAGCTGGAAAACTGAAGTACAAACTCCACTCTCCATCTCTGGTCTCCGTTTTGGTGGATTTTCCCTCCCAGAATTGGTGGATTTTCCCTCCCAGAAGGTTTGGAAAGGCTGGAATTACACTCTTGAATGGAAGAAAGCTGCAGTGGGTGTGTGTGGTCATTGTGGGGCTGATTCTGTAATTACATGTGTTTGCTGTCTAGGTGAATTGTCCCAAGGAGGATGTCTCAAGATATTGTGGAAAAGAAAATGCATTAAGGAAAGCCTTCCTGTTCAGGTGAGGGGCATTTCTGGGCACTGCACTGGGGTTGCTTCCCAGTGCAAATGTTTGAAGGAAACACTGTCAGCTGTCAGAGGTGTCTGTGGAGGAATGAGAGGAGCCACGAGGACAGCAGTGACCTGCATAGTTTAGCCAAAGGTACCCCCAAAATTCCAGCAGGCAGAGGAGATGCTTTGTCCTCAGTGTGATTCTCCCATCCTGCCTAAGGAAAGCCTTCCTGTTCAGGTGAGGGGCATTTCTGGGCACTGCACTGGGGTTGCTTCCCAGTGCAAATGTTTGAAGGAAACACTGTCAGCTGTCAGAGGTGTCTGTGGAGGAATGAGAGGAGCCACGAGGACAGCAGTGACCTGCATAGTTTAGCCAAAGGTACCCCCAAAATTCCAGCACAGGCAGAGGAGATGCTTTGTCCTTAGTGTGATTCTCCCATCCTGCTCCAAGTTCCTTGGAGCAGCAGAGGGATGAGCTGTGGAATGAAACCACAGGAGAAACCCTCCATTAGTGTTCTGCTGTTCCTCTGGCCTCCCATCCCCAGAGCTATAGTCAGGCCACAAGATTTTGGGTCTAGTTCAAGGCAGAAACACTTTTTGGTGCTCTCCTTGTTGGTGGGGTTAACTCCTCTGCCCTGGGTGGGAGGGTTCAGCTCCTGGTCTCTCCAAGGGTTGTCACATGGAAGCTTTTCCATGTATCAGCTCAGTTCTCATTAACTGTTGTACTGACAATCATGGAATAATTAAGGTTGGAAAAGACCTTTAAGGTCATCAAGTCCAACCATTCCAAAGACCTTTAAGGTCATCAAGTCAACCATTCCAAGGACCTTTAAGGTCATCAAGTCCAACCATTCCAAGGACCTTTAAGGTCATCAAGTCCAACCATTCCAAGGACCTTTAAGATCATTGAGTCCAGCCCTTCTCCCAGCACTGCCAAGGCCACCATGTCCCCAAGTGCAGCAGGAACCTGCTCAGCTGGGCTTGAACGATTCCCAACTTGGATCAAAGACATCTCAAGTGTGTTCTGCCGTTTCTCCATCATCCTCCCTATCCTTCTGTGCCTGCCTTGGCTCCCTTTTCCCACGGATCTGTGCAGTGAATCTCTCTCAGTTCCTTTGGTGACTCTCTCTTCACTCCACAGAGGGAACCGACTGATCCGAGAGTTCCCCACCGACGCGCTGTTCGACGTGAACTCCATCGTCGCCAACGTTTTGTTGTAAGTCCAGACCACATCCCACTCTCTGAAATCCTTTTCCTTTCTATTCCCACTAAATGCCAACCCCACTAAATGGCTTGTGTCCCATCTGGGTCACCAGAAAGTGAAAAAGCTAAAACTTGGGGCATCAAGGTATTCCAGAGGCTGCTCTGAGTCAAGCTTCTCTCTTCATAATGGTTTGACCCTGTTAGACTTTTTCCCTTGAGACAACTCCCCAGCACACACCTGGGCACCTCCAGTTGGCTGTGAATCCTTAATCTGCCAGCAAGAAGGTGGAATTTTACCCTGTTTTTCCCATCATACTTTTGTGGCTGCAAATTTACTCTTCAACCAGTTGCTAATGAGGTTTTCTCTGCCTCCTCAGTGCCCTGCTCTTTAATGAAGTTAAATATGTTGAAACACTGGCAGACCTTGAGAACCTTGAAAACGTGCTAAAAGGAAAATCCAACATGGTCTTTGCCTACGTACCAGCTACTGGGACAGCAGGTATGGACACTCAGCTTTCCATCTTTCCTCTCTTCCCCCAGCCTTTTTTTGGTAGGATATCCAGGAGCTGAGTTTCTGACCCAAAATCCTGCAAATGAAAATCTGAAAGGGCCCCCCAGCCACAAGATCTCTACTTCCATATGTCTTGCTTTGTTTCCAAAGGGATCAGTTGCAGCAGAAAAGTTTTTCTGGGATAAACCTTGAGAGATGGACTTGGAGAGGGAAAGCAAGCCAGTGGCTGCTGTCTTAAACATAATAAATCCATGGGCAGATTTCTGGCTCTGCAGTGAAATGGATTCTCACACAGCACCTGTTTGCTGGGGATCAGGAATGGGATCCAGCTCCAGTTGCTCACCTCCCTTCACAGTGTGTTTTCAGACAGACTGTGTGACATTGTACCAAGAGTTTCTGAAATACTGGGATTTGATACTAATACCTGGGAATTGATAATTGCACCTGGCAAGGATGAAACAGGAGATGTGGAGGGAACAGAGCTGAGATCACTTTGCCTTTCCCTTTGCAGAGCACAGAGCTGTGATGGAGGCAGCTTTTGTCTATGGGACCATGCACCAGTTTGTCCTGACAACTGAGGCAGCACTGCTGAAAGCCACCAGGTACATCCAGACACACCCCCACCATGGAGAGCTGCTTCCATGCACTGTTTGCCTCACTCCTGGTGTCTCAGATTCCCAAAGCATCTCTGGGATGGCATTAGGATGCTGTGCAAAGGGTGACAGTCAGATGTGTTTTCCAAAAGCTGCTGGTTGTGTTCCTGGCCTTGGAGTAGCCTTGCTGTTGGTATTGGGTGGGATTTCACAGGAGAGGAGCCCTGTGTCTCCTTTCCATGGCTGGTGGATCAAACCTCAGCCATGGGTTTCCAGGAGAGTTGATGTTAAAATCCTACAGCACTCCTACCTTGTGCTGTGATATCCAAGAGCAAGAACTGTAGCACTGCTCATGGATTTGGGAATTCCCATGCCATGGCCTCACTGGCCACCTCCTTCCCCCACAGGAGGAACTGCTTTAGAGTGGCAGATCCTTCCTTGTGACTGCTGATGTGACCTCCTGCGGTCAGGAATGTGAGGGAGGAGCTGGGAACATCACATGGGGTGTTGTTGCCTCAGCCCACAGTGTGCCCAGCTGGCCAAGAGGCCAGTGGCACCTGGCTTGTACCAGCCTGTGGCTACAGAACCAGGGCAGAGATTGTCCCCTGTGCTGGCACTGCTGAGGCCACACCTCAGACCTTGGGGTGAGTTCTGGGCTCCTCATGACAAGAAACACTGAGGGGCTGGAACGTTCCAGGGAAGAAACAGAGCTGGAGAAGGGCCTAGAGCCCCAGGAGGGGCTGAGGGAGCTGGGAAGGGGCTCAGCCTGGAGAAAAGGAGGCTCAGGGGGACCTTGTGGCTCTGCACAGCTCCTGCCAGGAGGGGACAGCCGGGGGGGTTGGCCCAGGGAACAGGGACAGGGCAAGGGGAAACAGCCTCAAGTTGTGCCAGGGGAGGTTTAGGTTGAATATTAGGGAAAATTCCTTCCTGGGAAGGGTTGTTGTGTCAGAACAGGCTGCCCAGGACAGTGCTGCAGTCCCCATCCTTGGAGGGATTTAAAATCCATGTGGATGTGGCACTTGGGGACACAGCTCAGTGATGGCCTTGGCAGTGCTGGGGGGACAGTTGGACTCGGTGATCTTGGAGGGCTTTTCCAACATCAATAACTCCATCATGAGTTACCTGGGATTTTGCCACAGGCACCTTCCCGCGGTGCCATTCCATCCTTGCAGGATTTCGGGGAATTGCGCTGTGGCTCCCACTAGGTGGCACGGTTGTCATTGCACAGGAATCTCCTGAATTCTCCTTAAAGCAGCGCCGCCCCCTCCCGAGCTGCTGAAATGGTGGGAGCTTCTCCAGCAAGAACAGCTTCCAGCCAACCTGGGCAGCAGGATTTGAGATCTTAATAGTGCACTTTGCTCTTCCATGGAGAGCTCTTAAATCCATGTCCAAAGAAGGTGATCCCTATTTTAGGGGTAGGGAATGGCTGCATCAGAAAAGGAAAGTCACTTCCCAAAGTTACCCACAGGCCAACAGCAGTGAAGGTGTCACAGGACCTTCCACCATCCCAGGCTGCTCCAAGCTCCATCCAGCTTGACCTTGGACACTTCCAGGGATCCAGGGGCAGCCACAGCTTCTCTGGGCACCCTGTGCCAGGGCCTCCCACCCTCACACTTCCCAATATCCCCTCTCTCCCTGCTCTTTGTCAGTGGGAAGCCATTCCCTGTGTCCTGTCCCTCCATCCCTTGTCCCCAGTCCCTCTCCAGCTCTCCTGGAGCCCCTTTAGGCTCTGGAAGAGGCTCTGAGCTTTCCCTGGAGCCTTCTTCTCTCCAGGTGAACATTCCCAGCTCTCCCAGCCTGTTCCACAGCCCTGCCAAACCCTGATCTTGAGGACAATCTGTGAGACACATCAGCAAACCTTCTGTCAGGGCACTTTGAACCCCTGCTCAGGGTGGGTTTTGTTTCCTCTCTCACAGCCATGATGACCCCGATGTCTCTTCTGCCTGGCTCTCGTTCTGCCACTGCCAGCAGGTCACAGAGGCAGCCCAGCCCTGCAGGAGGACAGCCCTGGCACAGCCCCTGACCCTGCTCAACATCCACAGGCACCTCAAGCTCATGGGGGCTCCCTTGGTGGTAAGGACTGGGAAAGAGGAGCTCCCTGGGTGGGAGGGCAGGGAGGGATGTGAGGATGAGGGAGGTGAGAGAAGAGAGAAAGGCTGAGTGTGGGAATCTGCCCCTTCCAGGGTGGGTTCAGGCAAGGAGCAGGAATCATCTGGTGCAGCTGCCTCACCAATTCAGGACTGGCCAAAACAGAAATAAATTATTGAGGACATTTTCCAGCTTATTCTTGAGCACTGCCCAACTCAATATGAAGCTTGTTCCAGTGCTCTTGATAAAGAAACCTTCCTGATGTTCTGTCTAAACCTCCCCTGATGAAGCTTTAGACCATTTCCACATGTTCTATCGCTGGATACTCTGGAGACATCAGTGTTTCCCTCTCCACATCCCCTCAGGAAGCGGTGGAGAGCAATGGGGGCATCCCTCAGCCTCCTTTTCTCCAAACTAGACAACCCCAAAGTCCTCAGCTGCTCCTGTAGGCTCCCTGCAGGAGTTTCAGCACCCTCTGGAATCTGATATCAGTCTTTCACACCTTGGTGATCACAAGGAACAGGAGGCTCCCCATGGCATTCACATTCTCTCAAAATTCCTTTGCCCATGTTTTTTCTCCTGGGAAGCTGAGAGGCCTCAGAGAAAAGGAAAACAATTCTTATCTCATTTTCTTCTCCTGTTTGGAATGTGTTTGGAGATTGTTTACCCACAGGTGATTTCCAGACTGGATTCTGGTTTGAGTTGTTTTGACTCACTGGCCAATTAGGGCCAAGCTGTGTCAGGACTCTGGAAAGAGTCACGAGTTTCATTATTATCTTTTTAGCATTCAGTAAGTATCCTTTCTGTATTCTTTAGTATTGTATAGTTTAGTATTCCTTAATATAATAAAGTATAATTAATAAATTAGCCTTCTGAGAACATGGAGTCAGATGCATCCCTGCAAATACAATAGTTCCCCCCTGTTTCCTCCTTCCACGGGGTAGAGAACTTCTGGTGCAGCTGCCTCACTGGCCAAAACAGAAATAAATTATTGAGGACATTTTCCAGCTTATTCTTGAGCACTCCCCAACTCAATATGAAGCTTGTTCCAGTGCTCTTGATAAAGAAATCTTCCTGATGTTCTGTCTAAACCTCCCCTGATGAAGCTTTGGACCATTTCCACATGTTCTATCACTGGATACTCTGGAGACATCAGTGTTTCCCTCTCCACATCCCCTCAGGAAGCTGTGGAGAGCAATGGGGTCATCTCTCAGCCTCCTTTTCTCCAAACTAGACAACCCCAAAGTCCTCAGCTGCTCCTGTAGGCTCCCTGCAGGAGTTTCAGCACCCTCTGGAATCTGATATCAGTCTTTCACACCTTGGTGATCACAAGGAGGCTCCCTGTGGCATTCACATTCTCTGAAAAAATTCCTTTGCCCAGGATTTTTCTCCTGGGAAGCTGAGAGGCCTCAGAGAAAAGGAAAACAATTCTTATCTCATTTTCTTCTCCTGTGTGGAATGTGTTTGGAGATTGTTTACCCACAGGTGATTTCCAGACTGGATTCTGGTTTGAGTTGTTTTGACTCATTGGCCAATTAGGGCCAAGCTGTGTCAGGACTCTGGAAAGAGTCACGAGTTTCATTATTATCTTTTTAGCATTCAGTAAGTATCCTTTCTGTATTCTTTAGTATTGTATAGTTTAGTATTCCTTAATATAATAAAGTATAATTAATAAATTAGCCTTCTGAGAACATGGAGTCAGATGCATCCCTGCAAATACAATAGTTCCCCCCTGTTTCCTCCTTCCACGGGGTAGAGAACTTCAGCAGCCTCCTGTTCCCAGTGGTCATCCCTGCCCATCCAAAAGGATGAGTAGATGAGCCGGGAATGCTCCTTCAGCCATTTTCCTGGATTAGGCCCATGCAGGGAAGGCAGTTCATCAAGCACCTCTGTGCTGTCATGAAGCAGCACGTCCAAGGCAGGAAGGGAAGGATTCCAGCTCTTGCATGTTGTGGCTGGGATTTTCAAACTGCCCCAGGGAGTGGATGCCAGGTAAATAAAAACGAGTGGAAATTTGACATCTGGATTGCTAAACCACAAAAAACCCCCACAAAATAAAGCCCAGGTTTTTAACAGGGAAGGTCATGACATGTTGGAACAGTTTAACTGGAGTTGTGTGGGTTCTGCTTCCATGGATGTTTTAGAATTGGGGTTGGAAGCTTTTTCCTGAGGATTTCTGTGGCTGGGGAAGAGCTGAGGTACCTTCAACTTGTGGAGCTGTGCTGCAGCTTAACCCTGGCTGTTAATCCTGGCTGTTCTCCAGACAGAGGTTGCTGAGGACCCAGAGAAGATCTCCACTGTTCACCTGCAGCTGGGGCTGCCCCTGGTGTTCATCCTGAGCCAGAAAGAGACCTATGAGGCTGACAGGAGGACAGCAGAGTTTGTGGCCTGGCAGCTCCTGGGGAAAGCAGGAGTTGCCCTTTTGTCCAGGTATTTCTCTCAGGTGTTTTTGGGTTCTCCTTGCTTTTTGGGGGATTTCTGAGCTGGGTTACCCCAACACCAGGATGACAGTCAGTGGACTCAATCACACTTGGATGAGAGGCAGTAAAACCAGGCTATATCCTGGGACAGGGTATTTCATATTTAAGGATTTGTCCAGAATTGTATTAATTTGGAAGTGTTGCTGGCTTAAAGATGGAAAAATATTCAAGACTAAGAGAGATTTTGGAAGGGAAACTTAGCAGTGATAGAATTAGGGCAGAAAGAGGAGGGATGACCTTCCATGTCTCACCATCTAATGTTCACTTTGTGTTTTGGAAGGGATCTCGTGGAGCTGAACGTTCTGCACCGGTCAAATGTGGCCCTCAAGACACCAGATGAGGTTGGATGCTGGATTTCTTTATTGGACAACTCTTAGCTCTGGAGAGGGTGGTGGGATGTTGCTCATCTCTGGGGTTGATTTGACAGCATTCTCTGAAGCTCAAGGGGAGGTGTCTTTCTCAGGTTATCCAGAGAATCTGTGGATTTCCCATCCCCTGGAAGTGTTCCAGGCCAGGTTGGACAGGGCTTGGAGCAACCTGGGATAGTGGAAAGTGTCCCTGCCATGGCAGGGGTGGAACTGGGTGATCTTCAATGTCCCTTGCATGATTCCATGATTTGGGTGTTGCAGAACTACTGTGCCTGCGGGTAAAGAGAAAACAGTGAGTTTAGTTTGGGTTCAAAACATTGAGTGACATCTCCACTACCCCTTAAGGCAACACAAGGTTGTGAGCTCCATCCAAGTGCAAATTCCCCAAAAGATTTGGACTTCTGAAGGCCTTAGAAAAGATGTCAAAAGATGGGAGAGGGACTGAGTGTGAAACAAAGAGCAAACAAGCAAAGCTGTGTGCTGAGCTGCTGTAAGCCAGTGCCTCTGGCAGTGAGCTGAGAGAAGGGCAGGTGTGAGGTAAATGAGGCTGATCAAGATGAGTTAAACTCTGAGGGACCTGACCCAGCTTGTGAGGCAGGCTGGAATGGGGTGCTGGCAGATGCCAGGGAACACAGATGGCCCAGATTTCCTGAACTGTCCCACTGGTGATTTCAGGTGCAGGATGAGACCTGAGCATCCCCTGAGGGCTTCCCCTGGCCTGCTGAGAGATGTGCACCTGGGTGGCTCTGGGAGCCCGTGGGAGGTGCCAGCACTTTGTCATTTCTCTCAGCTCCTGATGAACTTTCCATTTTCTCTCCAGTGCCTTTGTCTGAGCTGGTGCCAGCACTGGTTTTAAGCTGACAAGGTCTCATTTCTGAGAAATTCATGTTGCTTTTTTGCTTCTTTCCATGGGTGGCCAGTCCCTGTACACTTGGGAACATTTCTCCTGGCTGAGCTCCATGAGATAAAGGATTTTTTGAGCTGGTTTCCCAGGCTGTGATGGGCTCCTCAGACCCAGCCTGACCCCTCTAATGAGGGGACATCCAAGTGGCCCCTGTACTTCCCTGCTCTCCTTCCCTGCTTGGCCACTGGGATGTTTCCTGCAGTGCTGGATCTGAGTTAAGTTGCTGGGAGATGGGGCTGGTGTTCACTTTCACCACAGGATCCCTCATAGCCACATTTAATTAGCCACTTCTCCTTACATTTACAGGGAAACATCAGCCTGGAGTGAGAAAAACTCAAACAGAGGAGAAATTGGGTCAAGGAAATGTAACCCAGACATTCCCCTGTTTGGCAGCTTCAGGGATCTGTGACATATCCCAAAAATAAGGAGTTGGGAGATGGTGCCCATCAGCCTTGAGTCTGCTCTGCAGACAAAATAAGCAGAGGGGGATGTTGTGCTCCCACTGATTTATTGTTTTCCTCAGGGAATGCCAATCCAATACCTGGTCTTGGAAGACACTGATGAAGTTATAACCCTGGTGGAAGATAGGAACAAGGTCAAACAAATCCAGGCGGATGAGCAGGAAGATGAGGAAGATGAGGATGAGAAAGAGAATAACAATCAAGGTGTGCAATTAATCAAGTGAAAAGCTGATTGTCATCAGACAGAAAGTGCAATCAGCATCAGACATGGCAAAGCATTAGAGAACACTTGCAAACCATTACAGTCACTTCATGGTGGCCACAAAGTGGCTCTTTTATTCTCTGAGGTCGCTGGAGTATGACAGACAGGTCTGATTTTTAGTGGAAACACCAGGGAGAAAAATCAGAGCTGTTAGAGGAACAGTTGCTGTGTGAGGGATAGGAATGTGCTTGGATGCTCCAAAGGCATGGGAGGGTTAAAGTGCACCCAGCACTGTGTCCTCTACAAGCATCTGAAAATCATCCATCCCTTTGGAAGTGTTTGAGACACATTTTTGTGAGAGCAGATCCAGACTTGCTTCCTCCAGGGAGAAAACTGTGGTCCCTGCAATGCAAAATTGAAAATGCATTTGTTCTCTGTGCAAAACTGGGGGTGTTTTCTTAAAAAAAAAAGGGGGGGCAGGATCCTAGAGGAGCTTAGAGTATTGTTCCAGTCAAGGGCAGGGATGGGATTGGGGCATTTTGGGGGAGGTTTGTCTGGGTGGCTGTGCCTTCTTTCCCTATACAAGATTTCACTCACCCCACATCTCTGCTGAGAGGTTCTGCATTACAAAATCATGCACTGGGGTGGCCCAGGGGGCTGCAGTTCCCCCTGCCCTGGACACACCTGTGGGTTTTTTGCAGATATTCAGGATGACCAGGTGGTGGAAGCAGTTTCCAGGGACAAGAAGAGAGAGCTGCCCCTGGAGCAGATCCTTGTCCTGACAGAGGAGAACTTCCACTCTTCCCTCTCAGAGGCTGCCAGGACAGTGGTGCTGTTTTATGCCAGCTGTGAGTATGAAATGTGGCCTGGCTGTGCCTTCTGTAACTTTGGGATGTTCTCTGTGCTTTCCATGATCCTGGAGACAAGTTTTGACCATTAATCTGTGCCACATCCTGTCCCATGGGCACTAATAACAATCAGATTAAATCAGTTCTTCTTGGCTGATAATAGCAGATATCAATCTGATATTAAGAGATTTTTAACTTCATTTTACAGGAAAAAAATGTGGGACAAGAGGGGAAATTAATGTAGCATGGACTCATGGGCTGGCCTAGACATAGGCAGAGACATGAAACATAAAATTAAATTGTCCTTATTTATTTCAAATCTTTTAGAGCCTGAAGCACCTCAGGATGCAGAGATTCATAATGTGACATTGTCAGGCAGCAAGGTGGGGCTGGCTGTCCCCTGGCTGTCCCTCAGGGCTGTGTTTCCCCTCTCCTGTGTTTCAGGGGAAGCTGTGTCCCTGGCAGTGCTGCGCTCTTACTCCGAGGTGGCCGCTCACCTGAAGGGTAAGGAACCCCAGGGCTCAGGGTTTCAGCTGCTCCTCTTGGCAGGGGGAACAAAGACATTGATGGTACCTCATTCCCTCACCTGGAATACACTCACTTTCCCCCCTCAGATTCCTAAGGAAAGTCATATCCACACCAGGTTGTTTTAGGAACCTTTGTGTCTGATTTAGGGATCTTTGCAGAGTCTCTGCTCCCAGAGAAAAAAAAACACAAGACAGGAGGAAATGGCCTCAAGATGCACCAGGAGAGGTTTAGGCTGGATATTAGGGAAAATTTCTTCATGGAAAGGGTTGTCCAGCCCCGGCACAGGTGCCCAAGGCAGTGGTGGAGTCCTCATCCCTGGAGAGATTTAAAAGCCATGTCATTTGTGGATGTGGGACAGTGGTGGCCTTGGCAGTGCTGGGGGAACAATTGGACTCAGTGATCTTGGAGGGCTTTTCTAAGCTAAACAATTCCATGATTTTATGATCCTGGGCACATTCAAGGCCAGGTTGGATGGGGCTTGAAGCAACCTGGCATAGTGGAAATGGTCCCTGCCCCTTCCAGTCCAAATTACTCTGTGATCCCATTTGCTGGGCACAGTGACTGCACGAGGGAGAATTTGGGAAGGGCCAGGGGGTGACACAGAGCAGCAAGCAGCAGGAACTGTGGCCTGGAACATGGAAATAGGGTCTTGTCCTGCCCAGGCCCAGGAGATGCCCTACACATCAATGTGCTGGGTGGCACCTCATCTCTGCTGGAAAAAGGAGCTGTGATTATCCTTTAGAGGAAAACAGGACAGACAGGTGTGGGCAGGCCCAGGGCACAGGGCAGGACAATGTCACCTTCACAGGCATGGTGCCTCCAGGGTTTGCAGTCTGGCTCAGTTGTGAGAGTTCTCACAGGTGGCCACAGAGCTCCATAAATAACACAGGGATGGTGAACAATCAGCAGCCCTTAGTACATCAGGAAATCTGGGAATGAAGGCAGGAGGGATCCTTCAGGAGGGTCTGTGCAGTGTGAGCCCCACAGTCAGCCCTTTAACTCCATCCCACTCTGGTTTGTGGAGAGAGGTGGGTTCTTAAATGGGCTGAATCTCTTCCAGAGGTGCCTTTTTTCTCCCCTTGGCTGCAGGGGACACTGAGGTGGCTTCATCCCTCAGCTCTGTCTGTCCTGTTTTCCTCCAAAGCCAGGGATAATCACAGCTCCTTTTTCCAGCAGAGCTGAAGTCACATGGATCTGGGCAAGAGCTATTCCAGCACCTCTGGAAGTGGCTGGTGCCTTCTCCTGGTTTTTTTCTCCATCAAGGCTCATTTTTCCTGGTGCTGGCAGCCCTCTGGGACTGGGCACCGTGTCCTGCAGGATTCAGCAGTGGGGACATGAATGGAGTGTGCAGAGGACCCCACAGTTTTCTGGGAAGCAGCTGCAGTGGGAGTTGCTTACAAGAAGCTGTCCTGGGAATGCTGCAGGCAGTGCTGAGGGCTGGAGGAAAGCAGTTCTGCATTCATGGTCTGCATGAAGGGAAAGTCACCAGCAGCTTTGATCTGAAATCCCAGGAATAAACAGGAAGGGACAGGAGAGGCTGTTGTTGTTTGTGGGGTTGGTGGTGGTTTGGGGTTTCTTTTGGACTTGCTCATCAGCCAGACCAGCTAAAGGAGCAACAGAGGATGGTCTGTGGGTAAAACCCAGCCCCTTCCCAAACAACACAGGATGGTCTGTGGGTAAAACCCAGCCTCTTCCCAAGCCAGTGGCCAAGCCTTGGTGGGTTCTGCAGGGCCAGGATTTCACCATGGGTGTTCTGAATCACTTGATAACAATCTCAGGGCAGGGAAGCAGCCACAGACAGACTCAGCACAGATCATGAACTGCCTGGGGTCAGGGCCTTTCCTCTGTGATCACTGAGGGCTCTCCAAAGACTCCCAGGCCAGATGTGACCCTGTGGAATGACTCCAGTCTGCTTTCCCTGCCATGCCCTCGGAGCAGACACAGAACAGCTGCATTGGTGGATCTGGAGATCCTTTTTCCCTGTTGCTGAAGGAGCTTCAGGGAACTGGGAGAACCAGCTACCAGAGGAGCTGGAAAACCTCAGAGGGTGCTGTTCCCTGGGCTCTCAGTGATGGCTGGATCAGGAAGACCTCAAGCTGTGCAGGACTGAGAATAGGACATGGGGTATGGCTTGGGGCACTCTCAGTTCCCCAGATGCTCTGGTATTCCTGCCTGCTCTGGGGTGGAGCTTCCTTCCCAAGGGCTGGGAATCCACAGGCAGCTGTCTGAGGAGTGAATCACCCCTGCTGGAGGCACATCTTGAGTTGCAGAAGCAGGTCCTGCTCCCCATGCCAATTCTTTGTGCAGAATGGCACTGAGAATAGGCCATGTGTGATCAAACACAGGGGAATGGAGGAGGCTGGAGACTGCAATGACCTGTGAGTCATCCCATTCCAGATGCTCAGCAGATCCTCACCAAGTGAAGTTTCCAGCCCTCAAGTGTTTTCCATTTGTTGAGAGATCCAGTTTAGCAGGAGACAAAGAGGAGCATCTCTGAACATGCTGAACTGAGCGTGTTTTCTACCCTTGGAGCAAGAATTTTCCAGACTCCCTGGGGCTCACTGCTGCACTTCTAGTTTGCTTTTGCAAGATGGGAATTTTTGGAAGCAGCAGGGTTAAGAGCAGAGGATGTGAAGGTGAGGCATTTATTGGCCTTTCTTGCAAAGAAGAGAGGAAATCAGTATCTAAGAAGAGCAATATATTGTGATGAAAAATGGTTCTGCTTCCCTCCTCTGTGCTCCTGGGGTCTTCTTGACCAGGGATTTACAAAGGTGAAATTGTGCCTCAAAGGCAGGAAAATCAGCTGAATGATTTAGCAATTTATATCCATGGAGCCTAATGCTGAAATGAGGATTTCAGGGTTCATTGTGTGATGTTTTCCAGGTAGATGTTCCCATCCTGTATTAGATTCTTCCTCTTGAAATGCAGCACTTTGTACATAACTTCTCTTTCATGTTGAAGCCTTTGGACCAGCTCTTCAAGTGAGCTAGTTTTTTAATGCAATCATGGAATTGTTTAGGTTGAAAAAACCTTCCAATGTCACCAAGTCCAACAATTTTTGGACCAGCTCTTCAAGTGAGCTAGTTTTTTAATGCAATCATGGAATTGTTTAGGTTGGAAAAACCTTCCAATGTCACCAAGTCCAACCATTTTCCCCGGCACTGCCCAGGCCACCACTGTTCCATATCCCCACAGCTTTTAAATCCCTTCAGGACAGGGACTCCAGCACTGTCCTGGGCAGCTGTGCCAGGGGTGGACAACCCTTTCCATGAAGGAATTTTCCCTGTTATCCAGCCTAAACCTCTCCTGGCCCAGCCTGAGGCCATTCCCTCTCCTCCTGTCCCTGTTCCCTGGGAGCAGAGCCCGACCCCCCCGGCTGTCCCCTCCTGGCAGGAGCTGTGCAGAGCCACAAGGTCCCCCTGAGCCTCCTTTTCTCCAGGCTGAGCCCCTTTCCAGCTCCCTCAGCCTCTCCTGGTGCTCCAGACCCTTCCCCATCTCCATTCCTTTCCCTGCACATGCTCACGCACCATGCCAGTCCTGCCTTCTAAATATAAGTCCAAATTATTATAAGTTCAAGGGATTCCTGATTTTTCTTGTTCCCTATGGCACTGATGGTTTGTCTTGTCCTGGTTTTCTAAGACCTCTAGGACAGAGGTTTTTGCTGTTGCTGTGTTTAGTAGCACCTAAAACCACAGGAAGATTTTTGTGTTCCTCTTTCACCTTTCTTCCCACTCAGCAGTGACCACAGGGCTGGACAGTCCTTTGCTGAGTTATTCAGTTCCTGAAAGTTCTGCTTGCTCAGTCATTATGGTGCAGGTTGGGAGAGGAACCATCCTGTACCAGATGTTTTTCAGGCCAGATTTGGCTCCTTCAGAGCACATGGTCCATAATTCCCTGAGCTAATATCCAAATATCAAAATTCATCTTTGAAAAAGCTTCAAGCAGCCTCACAACTCGATTTTAACAGGACATCAAAGCCCCATTTCCATGGAATTATTTTCCAGAGTTGGGCAAGACACAAGATGATGTGGTAAGAGATGATGAGAACCAGCTATACTGGATCAGAGGTGTGAAGTAAATCTGAGGTCAGGCTCTCAGTCTGAGATCTTCTTGCAGAGTCTGGGAATGACACAAACCATTTCTGCTCTCGTGGAGTGTTTTGACAATTGCTGCCTGTCTGAGTGGATTTGCAGGCCCTTCACTTGTGCTGCTTCCTGCTTTTTCTGCACAAGAGTTTGACACAAGGCAGAACAGCAGCAAACTCCTCATGTCAGCTGCAGTGCAGAACCTCAAATGAAGGTTGCAGAAAATGGTCCTGTGGGAGGCCAAGGATACAGGGATAAGGAGTAGGAACTCCTGCTGAGGTCACCTCTGCCTTCACCCCCATCTACAAAAATCCTCATGGAATCCCAGAAGGGTTTAGTTGGGAGGAACCTTAAATCTCCATCTCATTCCACCCCTACCATGGGTAGGGACAGCTTCCACTATCCCAGTCTGCTCCCAGCCCTGCCCAGCCTGGCCTGGAACCCTCCCAGGGGTTTGGGAGTCCACATCTCCTCTGCACAACGTTTGTGCAACTCTCAGCTGTGCTCAGTTCCCAGGAACTTGTTTTAATGCTTGATCAGCCCTCCCCATCTTGGCATGGGCTGCTCTTGACCCTGCCCAGTGCTCCCACTGCCCCTCAGAGCACCCCTGATGTGTTGGTGGATTTTATTGTTTCTCTCTCACTGGTGATTTCCAGGCCAAACTTGGTTGGGTTTTTCCTCAGGAAGGAATTCTTCCAAACTGCTCCAGATTCTCATTTGCTTAAACCATTCCAAAAAGTGTTTCCCAGGCTGACTTGCTGGGCTCTGCTGAGGATTCACCAGGACAGAAGAACTTAATTTTCTTCCCATGAGCTGCAGATGCTGAGTGTCCATCTCTTTCCTGCAGTGCTGGTGGTACCTTTGCATCCTGCTTTCTCCTCATGGAATACTTCTGTCTTTATTCAAATTGCTTTCTGCCCCTCTAGGCTTGAGGTCCAAACCAGATTGGACGTGTTTTATTCCCATCAGCCAGGCCTTTAATGACAATAGTGACCAGAATCAGACCCAGGACAGTGGGAGAAGAAAGCTTGGCTGGTTTCTCTTGAGAAATCCTTATCATCTGCCCCAACCCTGGTTTCTGAAGGATTCTTTGCCTTCAGTCTGCCTCCATGTGTGTACTTGTGTCTGGGTTTTATCCCATCTTTCCCATGCAGCTTTTGAGTCCTGTTCAAAGAAGGATTTGGGGAAGGAATGAAGATTTCTGAGATTGGGCATGGACAACTGCACACTGTCCTTGGTCAAGCCCCTGAGGCAGCCCAGGTGAGGCTGGAAGCCAAGAGAAGGGAGGGAGTGAAGCTGGTCAGGATTTAGGTCAGGCTTAGCCATGGACCAACAGCAGCCTGTGCTGGGCTTCACCCAGCCCAAAGATGAAAGAAAGGCTGATAAGTTCCCTGGAACTGTTCCAGGCCAGGCTGGACAGAGCTTGGAGCAGCCTGGGACAGTGGAAGGTGTCCCTGCCCATGGCAGGGGGTGGAATGGGATGAGCTTTAAGGTCCCTTCCAATCCAATCATTCTGTGACCCCATGATTCTTTGCTGGAAGAAATTCTGGAGTTGCACAAATCTTGGGCTCATAGAGAGCACTCAAGGAACCAACTTTTCATCTGTTTCACTTCTTACCAACCTCTTGAGTTTCTTGTGTTGGTGAGACCCATAAAAAACCTTTTTGGGACATTTCCCAGAACCCGCTGTTGGACTCACTGCTCTGTAATTCCCAAGAGCTCTCTCTTCCTTTCCCACTCCCTTACTTGTGAGACCCCTTTCTTCATGTCCTACAGGTGTCTGCTTGTGCCTTGGGTAGGATCACAGAAAATCCTGACTTGGAAGGGATCCATAAGGATCATCAAGCCCAGCTCCTGGCTCTCAGGACAGAATCCCACCCTGTGCCTGAGGGCAGTGGATGGGAGCATCTCTCTTCCATCCCCTTTAACTGGTCCATGTGCATTTGGCTTCATGCTTGAGGTAGAACAGAGATTTTTCAATATTGAACAGCTTAATAAATGCAAAAACCTTGGCTGCATCCTCCTCCTCCATTGTGCCAAGCTTTATCTTCTCTCTTTCCTGTGAGTGCCTGCATTATTTCTTTCTCTTGGCCTTATTCCTAAGGTATTTCCAGTACCTTTCCCTACTGCCTTTTAAGCTCCTGGACAGCTCAGGATTTTGTGGTGTTGCTTGGAGTCACCAGTCAGATGTGAATGTTTCTGGGAATTAGTAATTTCCAGAGGGAAATGGGCTGTACTCAAAGGGATTTTGGTAGATTTCTGCCAGAATTAATACAAATATAGACAATAATATCTACTGAGCTAATAAAAAGCTCTATTTTCCAACCAACTGATTGTTGTTTTTAGTTTTTCATATCATTCATGAGTATTTTTTTGTCCACTCTAGGAACCCCAGGGGTTTTGCTGTCCCGGGTGAACTGCTGGGACTGGCCTGGCCTTTGCTCCCAGGAGAATGTCACCCAGTTCCCCACCATCAGGATTTACAAGGAGGGACAGCAGCCAGTGACATATGGTGGCATGTGGGGAACTGAAGAGCTGAGCAGCTTCATCCTGCTGTGAGTGACAAATCCCCAGTGGGACATCTGCCACATTTTCTGTCACCATCCCTGTCTTTTTGCTGGAATTCCTTCTGTTATTTTTAGTGGGGATCCCAAGGCTCTCAGTTTGACTCAGGCTGTTCTCTCTTTCCTCCAGCACCTCTCTGGTGGTAATTATCACCATCCCAGATGGTAATTTTTGTCTCTAATGAGGTGTCACACTTGTCCCATTGTGATGGGGCCTTGTTGGGTTGAGGTTGCCCTGTTGACTCTTCATCCCAAAAGCAGAGAAGACAGCAGCCTTTCCAAGGTTCCAAGGTTCTTTCTCTGCCTTTCTACAGGAGCCAAGTTTCCTGCCCACTGAAGCTGGCCACCATGGATGAAGCAGAAGGGTATTTAAGAGGGGAGTTTCCATCTGAGCTCTCATCCCACCACCACACCTCACTCCTGGGAGTTTTTAGCTCAGCCACCAGCGAAGGTTTGTTGGGATTGGTGGGTTAAGCACTCTCCAGCTTCATTCCTGGTGGGACAGGGCTTCTTCCAGCTGTTGGAAGTTCAGAACACAGCCTGCCTGGCACTGCCTTTTCCAGCTGTACAGTGAGAGGGTAGCAGGTGGTTCCAGGTGTGGGATTTCAGATCCATACCCTGGCTCAGAGGACGTTCAGCTGCCAGCTGGGTTTGCTACACCCACTGTGGGAGTAGGAACTTCCCAAGGCTTTTGTCCCTGCTGTACCTCCTTCCCCTTACCCAGAAGAGTTTGGCTCTGTCCTTGTTATGAGTCCCTTCAAAGTAGTTGTAGGCTGGCACTAAATTCCCTTTAAGCCTCTGGTTTAGCCCAGATCCATCACCTCTTCCTGGAGCCCATGTACAACATGTCCCAGAATATTTCCTTAAAAAAAGGAAGAGATCCACTCTTGGATCTTGCTGGCTTCTCCTAAAGAAGCAGCAGCCCCAGTTCTTGTATCACACAATCCAAAACCTTTATTTTTTAAAAAACAGAACAGCAAGAAGGTACAACAGGAGTTTCTTGCATCAGAAGGAAGGAAATAACTCAGTGAAATCCACTTGTGGATTTTGGAATAGATGGACACAGAAATGCAATGTGTTACCAAGGGAGAGGGAATAAAGCCAGTCTGGAGAGAGAACTTCAGGCAAATCTCAGAATCACGAATGGTTTGGGTTGGAAGGTCTTTAAAGCTCATCCCATTCCACCCCTGCCATGGGCAGGGACACCTTCCACTGTCCCAGGTGGCTCCAAGCTCCATCCAACCTGACCTGGACACTTCCAGGGATCCAGGGGCAGCCACAGCTGCTCTGGGCACCCTGGGCCAGAGCCTCAGTTGGGAGCTGAGATCTTCCAACCCCACAAACTCAGTTGCCAGCTCCCCCTGGGAATTGCTGCCTTAAAAATAGGAGAACTTCCTGATCTTGCTTAAGATCAAACTTTCAGACTATTTTTCATTTTAAAGCTCCCTTGTGCCTCTAAACTTTGGTTTAATGCAAACCAAGCTACTTTCTCACGTGAGAGGGTCCAGAGGGAAGAGGTAAGACAGGATACCTGGAACACACTTGGGCTGTGTTCCCTGAGCCAGCTGAGAGCCAAATCTCTGCCTTCCTCTAGAGATCTAGTCTGGTAAATACAGCAGGAAACCCTACTGATCCCAAAAAACCTTTAACCCAGCCCAGGGAAGCTGTGGCTGCCCCTGGATCCCTGGCAGTGCCCAAGACCAGGCTGGACAGGGCTTGGAGCAGCCTGGGATGCTGGAAGGTGTCCCTGCCCATGGCAGGTGTTTGGAACTGGCTGATCTTTAATGTCCCTTCCAACCCAAACCCTTCTGGGATTCTACAGAGAAGTTGTTCATTCCCTTCCATGCAAACAAGAACTTTGGGGGTGTCCAGACAGTTTTTGTGGATCCTGTAGGATTTCCTCTTCCCTCAGGGCACATTCCCTCTGCAATCCAGAATGGCATCCTCAGCCTGGGTAACTCAACCACAGGGAGATGAAATTTGGGATGTCTTTTCCACCCACTTCCCGGGGTGCTGGAGCTGTGATGCAGAACAGCCTGAGGGAGCAGGAACCTGGAGCCAGCTGCTCTGGCATCAAACCAGGCTGGAGTCAGGAGAACCACATTGTTCCTCTTACCAACCTGCAGATTTATCTGGAATTCCCAACCAGTTTCTCATGGCAGAATTCCTGCTCGAGCAGCAGTGAGTGGGGTCATTGTCATTTCTGGTGAACTGAAACAGAGCAATGAGGTCTCCTGCTAAAAACATCCTGGATGTTTTCCAACCCTTAGCATCAGGACTATGTTAAGAAGCCCTTTATGGGTCTGAGCTAAAAGAGGCTTGGTGGAAAAATCCTAAATAAAATTTACTAGGAAGAGGTGAATGTATTATGAGGGCATTGAACGAGGTTTTCCTGGAAACTCAGAGAACTTTTAGGACAGAAATTTGGTTTTGATGCAGAAACTGGAAGAATCCTAGAAAGTAAAACTGTCCTAAATCCTCAGGAATATTTTAAAATATTGAAATATTTGAAAATACGTGAAAATATCCCTGAGCTCTGGTGCCTCACAGGGCTTGGCAACATCAGTGGAAGCCAAGTGAGGAAGGCAGGAGAGATGCTACAGGAGCTGCTGTGCTGAAGAGCAAGCTCAGAAGTTGCCTCCTTCCAGAGGGATAAAGATGGGAGCTCAGATCCTGCTTCCCAAAGCTCTGCAGGGATTTTAGACCCTTTCTCATCAGGCAGCTTGAGCCCTTCGTGTTCCCAAAGCAGTGAAGTTATGCTTGTGCAATTCAGGGCAGCTCATGGATTGTGCTGCAGAGCATGGTCAGCCCCCTCAGGGAATTAAAATCATGCTTTCAGGGGGGACTGATTTCCTAGGAAATATTTAAATAGATTCATTGAAGTGCTTCCTGTCTGCAGTGGAGCTGTGTGAATTCGGGGGGGTTTGGGTACAAAGCAAAGAACCTGAGAAATATGGGCTGGTGTGTGGCTCTGGGTCTAGGACAGAATTAGGGGAAAATTTGGAAGTGTGATGGGGAGGGAGGACATAATCAGGTCAAAAAATAAGCCTGGTATTGCTGGAGGTTGTCCTGACTTACGAGGGAATTCCTGCAGCCAGGGCTGACCCAGGGCAGCACTTCAAGACAAGCTCATCTCTCAAGTGGGGATTTAAAGCTTGGTGGAAGAACTTGGGATGGGAACTTTTCTTTCAGCACTGATAAAATCAAGTAACCAAACACCAGAAGAGCTGGAAAGCAACATCCAAGAATGATTTCTCTGTAGCAGCTGGAAAGGGACTTTGGACAAGGTCCTGGAGGGACAGGACACAGGGAATGGCTTCCCACTGCCAGAGGGCAGGGATGGATGGGAGATTGGGAAGGAATTGTTCCCTGGAAGGGAGGTGAGGCCCTGGCACAGGGTGCCCAGAGCAGCTGTGGCTGCCCCTGGATCCCTGGCAGTGCCCAAGGCCAGTACTTGGAGCAGCCTGGGACAGTGGAAAGTGTCCCTGCCATGGCAGGGGTGGCACTGGCTGATCTTTAATGTCCCTTCCAACCCAGCCCATTCAGAGATTCTACGATAATGACTGAGCCCTCAATGAGCCACTCCTTAAGGAACTCCTTCCATTTAAAAAGGAAAACAATTTAAATGAAAGTTTATGGGCCACATGGGAAACAGTGGAAAATACAGCTTTGAGTGTAGCTGCAAAACAGGAATCAAAGAAGCAAAAAGTCACCAATTGAGAGGCAGCTCCATCTATTGAGCTCTGAGTCACTGCTCCCAGGAGCTTGGGCTGGCCTGCTGTGCTGTGACAGGGAAGGTTCTGAGGAGCAGTCACTGGTGTGTGACAGCAATTTATATCATGGCTGTATCTAAGATACCCCCTTAATTCTCAGAAAAAAAAACCCTGGCTTCTCCAAGAAGTGAGATTTCTCCCTCTCCTTGGGTCAGACGAGCTGGATTTGTTGCTTTCAGTTGCTCAGTGCAGAGGAGGAGGAGGGTGGTGGTTTTGAAATCCTCCCTGTTCTCACCCCACCTTTGGCAGCAGCTGTCTGGAGCTCTGATCTCTGCATTTCACAAGCTCCCCACCATGCCTTGCATGTTCCCACAAAGCTTGGCTTTCCCTGGATCCACTGCCTGAAACCACAGCCAGGCTGGACAAGGCTTGGAGCAACCTGGTCTGATGGAAGGAGTCCCTGACCATGGCAGGGGGGGCAGCAAGATGAGCTTAAGGTCTTTTCCAACCTAAATCAGTCTGGAATTCTGTGAAATTGAAGGCTTTTTATGAGGGAATAATCCAGCTCTGCAGGCAGCTTTGTTTTGGAGCTGTGCTCTCAGTCTCAGCTGTGATCGAGAGAGCCCAGCCTGGTTTTTCCCTACCCTGCAACAGCCTCAGTCTGCTGGGAAGAGCTGGATAAACCAAGAGACACTTGAGGGAAAGGTTGGTTTATCTCCAGGCTCTTAGCCCTGCTCCAGTAAAGCCACCATCCATCATTTCTCAAAGGTCACTGGGATTTATAAGATTTCTGTTTAGACTTATAATTGGTCTCCTGTTTCCAAGAACGCTTACAGACTGTAAGTCCTTAAAGACATTTCATTTTCCAGCAGTGCCTCTGTCCTGCAGATCCTGGAGGCTCAGTGCTGGTGGCTGAAGAGCAAAAACTGTTCTCATAATGGGAATTTTCCCCTAATCCTTGCTCTCTGCCTGCTCCTCCTCCCATGGCCTGCAGCCCTGAGCTGCAGTAATGTCTTGAGAGCCTCTAATCCTGGTTTAGTTCCTGAAAATATGCTCTGGCAGGATGTTGTGTGTGTAGGCATCGATCAGGTTTCCAGGAAAAAACCTCAACACCTCTCTTTCTATTGTTTATTCTTGTGTCTTTGTCTTTTTTCCAGCCAGGGAAGCTTTTGAAGAGGCAGGAAACATCCTAAGTGGCCACGTAAGGATGGGGATGTATTTTGAAGATGATGCCTTGGCTTTGTAAGTGGTTTCTCTTTTTCTTTGAGAACAGTCCAAGCTGATCTGCACTCAGTGAAAGGCAGTGCCTGGAGCAAATGTCACTGTGCTGAGGGACAGCTACAAGTGACTTTTTCCTGCAGGGGGATGGGTCAGGACTCATCCAAAGGGAATTGTCACCTTGGCTCTGCCACTGGTTCTCAGCCTGTCCATGGTCACCTTCCTGTTCAGATTCACTTTCATTTTCAGTCCTCCAGCCCCCATGGATGTGGTTGTGTTCCTCACACAAACAGGAACAAACCTGTCTGAAAATAAAAAACGGGCTGGAAAAATAACACCATCAGTGTGTGAGGGAGGAAAAGTCCTGCCTTTCTCTTTCTATGAGGAAAAAAGTGATGGATAGTCACTGCAGTGCCTTCCCTTGCCAAGAACAGGCAGAAAAGAAGCTGCTTGTGACTACTTGGGCTAGGAGTGGAGTGGGCATGGAGTCTGGGTCCTGGAAAAGGCTTTGGAAGCTGGGAAATAAATGTCTTGTCATGGAGCTGCATTCCTGGTGGAATTGCTTCCTTAACTTGAAGCCAGGTGGGAGTTAATGGGATCTTACCTGTGTCACTAAGACTCCAGCAAGGGACAAAGTCCTTTGGGTTGGAGTGTGAGAGGTCCTGCAGTGCCTAGAAATGCAGCTGCATCCAGGGAGAATCTCCAGCTTGCCCTAGCATCTCACTTCCATCAGGAATTAGCTATCAAGGCAGAGTTTAAAATCCCAGGAGGTCCTTGGCCTGTTTTCCAGGTGTGGGTTTAACAACCTGCAGTGCAGCAGGGAATTATTTTCATCAGTTCCTCAGAGGTGTGATGCATTCCTGATGAGACACGGGCGTTTTTGTGGTGAGCACGGAGAATAAAAATGCAAATACCTTGGGAATACATCTCTGTTAACCAAACTGCTCCAGGCATCAGTTAAGACTTCTCTTCCCTGGGGATTTCAGCCCAGCTGATAGAATAAAAAAAACCAGCAGAGGACAGGGTGATCTCTCAAGGTACCAGTAGAAGAAGCCTTTGTTCTCTCAGAGCTGACACATGCAAGAATCCACCTCCCTGCTCCTGCTCCTGGAGCCTGCAGCCTGCTCCTGTTTAGCAGGAATATTTAGTGCAGTTTATATTGATAGTCCTTCTGCCAAACTTGCATTTTGGCTGTGATTTGTGGGTGAAGCTACTGTAGCTGATGGACTTCTCAACTGTAAGCAGAAAGTAAACACTTACAGGAATTCCTTATGCAAGAGCCAGGCTCACTTCCCTTCTTCAGAAAATGAAAAGCCATTCTTGAGCTCAGTGCTCAAGGAGAAAATATTTATGGCTCCCAGGTCACAGAAAGCTGATTCCCCTTTTGTGCATCCTGTAGACCTTTTCCAGAGAGAAAAGGGCTGCAGGATACACAAAGGCTGGTGTGAGTAAGGCTGTTTGCTCAGCAGGCACCTGCTGGGCTGGTCACTAATGAAGGGGAAAAAGGCATTGAGGAAGAAATGCTTTGCATGAGGTTGTTATTGTCAGAGACTCCTGCCAAGTATTTGTTTGCAGATGGTTTTGATTGAAATGCAAGACTCAATGGTCCTGCTGAATAAATAGAAAGCTGTGGTGAGCAACAGCACAACCCCTCAGTACCAGGAAGAGGAGAAGGGGTTTCAGGACAGAGTGTAGCTGGGGAATTCGGTGGTTTTCTGGCAGTCTATAAGATATTTCCTCATAGAATTGTAGAGTAAAACCCCAGAATGGTTTAGGTTGCAGGAAATCTTAAAGCCCATCCAGTTCCACCCCCTGCCTTGTGCAGGGACACCTTCCACTATCCCAGGTTGTTCCAAGCCCTGTCCAGCCTGGCCTTGGGCATTTCCAGGGATCCAGGGGCAGCTTCTCTGGAATCCTTCCAGTGTCTCACAACCCTCACAGATGCTTATCAAAGGTGATGTATTTTAGATACAGGGAACAGGAGTCCTCACTCCCCTGGGCCATGGTCAAACCAAAGAATCTCTGTAAAACCCACAGAAGTTTAATAAGTTCAGCATCTCTGAATTAAATATTTTTTAGGGTTTTGCCAAACTTAATCAGCTGTAAATACAGCTCACAGTGAAGTTTGCAGTGGGTGTTTTAGTCCCAGAGAGATAAATGCTGTGATGGAAGATGGGAGAGGCCTCTATAAGAGCTGGGCACCATGGAGATGAATTATCTGCAGTTCCATCCTTTTGTGTCATTGATGACCTAAAGAAACTCCTCCCTGGGAGGGTGGGCAGGCCCTGGCACAGGGTGCCCAGAGAAGCTGTGGCTGCCCCTGGATCCCTGGAAGAGTCCAAGGCCAGGTTGGGTGGAGCTTGGAGAACCCTGGACAGTAGAAGGTGTCCTTGCCCATGGCAGGGGTGTGGAGCTGGCTGAGCTTTAAGGTCCCTCCAACCCAAACCATTCTGGGATTCTTTGGTGTCACAGCCTTTGAAAATTTGCCAGGAGCCTTTGAAAAACAAACCAGACATGACCACAAAAACTGCAGAGGCAGCTGATTTCCCCTGTCACACCCTTCCTCTGGACAGTGCCATCTGGAGCCTCTAGGGCTGAAGTTCCTCAAACTTCCAGAAAATTGCTGTCCTGGCTTGGTGTCCCCCCTGCCCTTTCTTTGCTCAGACTTCTCCTATTTTTGCTTTTCCCACTTTCTCAGCTTTTCTTTGAGTACCTTGAACCCTCTTGCCAGACGGGCTTTGTGGGACAAAGGATCATCTGACTCCCCCACCAGGAGTGGGTGGGTGCAGCCTGTGTGTGTTGCTCCAGTGTGGGGCTTGGACTACACCAGCATTTTTGGGTTTCTTCACTGAGACAAAAATTGGATCTCCTGGAGGTTGTTTTGTGTGGGTTGTGTCCCTTGGATGGAATCTGACACCTCTGCCTTGGCTGGGGGGGCAGAGTGAAGCCCTGGGTGGGTTTTTGCATCACCCAACCATAGGTGGGAAAATGAAGGAGAAGTAGGAATAAAATCCCAGAATCCCACAACGGTTTGGGTTGGAAGGGACCTTAAAGCTCATCCCATTCCATCCCCTTCCACTATCCCAGCGTGCTCCAAGCCCCATCCAGCCTGGCCTTGGACACTTCCAGGGATGGGACATGTCTCCAGGAAGATGCCAGCTCTGTGTGCAACACATTTGGGTTGTCTTGGTTTGGAAAGCCAGGTGTCTGCTAAGGAAGGCAGGAGCCTCCCCTGAAATGGAAAAATGTAAACCCCCTCCCTCCAAATTGTTATAAATTTTAAATTAAGGGACTCTTAGGCAAAAATATGGGAGAATAAACAATGCAGTAAACTAAAAACAACGCTGACAGAGTCACAATATGACCTGACCCCCTGTTGGTCAGGGTGTTGGGACCAATCCAGTTGGAATTGTGGCTCAGCCCTCCTGCAGTGTCAGTGTGGTTCTGCTGGAGCAGGGATCCTGGAGAAGGGTGCAGTCTGCCTCTGAAGATCCAGTGGAAGAGGCAGCTGTTCCTCTGGGAAATCCAGTGGAGAAGCTGTCTTGCTGTCCCAGGATCTCAGATTCTATCCAGGTAGGAATGCTTGGCTCCTCCCTCTGGGCTCTCATCTCCCAGTGGGATGCTGGAATTCTTATCAGCCATGCAGGGACACTCAGTGGCCCATTATCAGCAGATGTCCCCCCAGAGGGAGGAGTGGGTGTGGAAGAGAAAGAAAAACTGCCCAATTAACAGAAGAGAACTGCCATACAGATGGCAAATAGAATACATCTTGCCTTGCAGTCTGGGACAGGCTGTGTCCTAACCCCTGTGCCCATCCCTGTTTTCCAGATCCCAAAAATACTCCGTGTCCCCCCCTGCCCTCCTCCTGGCCCGGAGCGGTAGCCGGAGCGTGGAAGGCATCGCTCTGTCCGAGCACAGCGTGCAGGACATGGTGCAGATGATCAGATATGAACTGCTGGACATTTTTGTGAGTAAAAATAAAATCAAAATGTCCTTTTTTTCCATTGCAGTCGTTTGCAGAGCCCTGATTACAGCGTGGAGTTCTGCGGAACGGCCGTGTCTCTGCTTGTTATTTTTATCATGCTGAGTTTGTTTTTAAATTTTATGTCTTGGAGCAGGGAGTCTGGACAGAAATCTGCTAATCTGCTCTTTGCTGTGTGGTTTTGGAGCAGGAGACCCTGGAGTTGAGGGACTGGCCTCAGAGTCACTCACCTGCTAGTTGTCACCGTTATTATTGGGTCTATTCCCTATTCCCAGGGCTTTTTCCATGTGCCTTTTGGAGCCTCTGCCTGCTCTGCTCACATCCCCATCTCCAAGCTCACAGCTGCTCCCAGACTTGGTGCACTTGGGTTGGGCAAAGACATCTCCAAGTGCACCAAAATCTCAGCCCTCTTGCTGCTTCCCACATTCCACACAGACACTGCAGCCTTGCTTAGCCCCTGCAGCCTCATGTAAGAGCAGAAATTGAAATTTTCTCCTGTTTTCTCCTCCCCATAACCACCAATTTCTTGTTTGTGATCTTCTACAGCCAGAAATCACTGTGCCAAATCTGCCCCAGTACTTGCAGCTGGGAAAGCCCTTTCTCATCCTGTTCAGTGCTGGTGACATCAGTCAGGTGGAAAGCAAGGAAATGCTGAAGCTGGCAAAAGGAAGACCCCAGCAGGCGTTTGTGGCTTGCTGGTTGAACCTGTGAGTGTTTGAAAATCTCTTCTTTCCATTAACTCACTCTGAGCCTTGCAGAAAAAACCCCTGAGGCTGCAATTACTGAGAACATGAGCTGGTAATGAGAATATTTGGTCTGAAATCATCAGGAATTGGAGGTCAAACCATTGAGCAATGCTTCACTCAGTGTTCTGGGCAACTGCAAAAATTGCCTGACAAAGTAAAATTAGTAAATATTTAATTGATTGCAGAAATCGTTTTCAATAGAGGAAAATGCTCTCTAGTGCTTGTAGTAGCTTGACTCTGGGTCTGGTGTTATTTGCATATTTTTTTGGGATGGAATGAAGTGCATATGGGAAGAAAAAAAAAATGGAAATTTGCCCTCCTGGAATGTCTTATGGTGATTTTCCACCAGCAATTAGAGGGAATGACTGGTCATTGACTGGGGAAAGAAAATGTTCACAAGACTGTTCAACCAGAAGCCTCATAAATTAAACTTAAAAAATATTCAAGCAACAAAATTAATTTAAGACCTAAGAAATAGAATAATGTAGGAAAGGGGATTTTTTTTTTTTAATCCTCCTCTTCTTTAGTTGCATTTTGAATTTTTGGCCTCTGTTTGTTTTGCCCAAGCCCAGAGAAACTTCAGAGGCTTAATCATAACGTGCTTTGAAGTCTGGGAAGTGGTGACCAGCGTGGGCTGGAGTTTAGCTGAGGGGGAAAATGCACATGTGCTCAGAGGGAAGGGGATGGGGCTGCCAGTAATGCACCAGAAATGAGAGCCCTGGAACTTCCCCACCTACACATCTGCCTTTGCTCTGCCTTCCTGAGACACAGAAAGCCTTCCTGTGCCAGAGCAGAGTGGCACTGCCACCAAACAGGGGAGAATTCCAGAAGGGTTTGGGGTGGAAGGGACCTTAAAGATCATCTCATTCCAACCCTGCCATGGCAGGGACACCTTCCACTATCCGAGATATCCCATCCAACCTGGCTTTGGACACTTCCAGGGATCCTGGGACAGCCACAGCTTCTCTGGGCAACCTGGGCCAGGGCCTTTCCACCCCCACAGCCAGGAATCCATCCCTGCCCTCTGGCAGTAGGAAGGCATTCCCTGTGTCCTGTCACTTCATGTCCTTGTCAAAAGTCCCTCATCCTAGAAAGAGTCCTCATTCACAGGGCAAGAGCCAGCTCAGACCTGAAGCCTTAAAATAGTGCTGGAATGTCTCAGCACCTCTGTGGGCTTGCTGTCCCTCTGTCACAATGTCCTGCTTTCATTCTCTCTGTGTCACCTGAGGAATTTGCCTTTCCATCCCTGTGGAATTGCAGTGGCAGCAGCTGGCCTGGAAGGGGCTGGCAGCTGTCCCTGCAGACAGGGTCTGACCCTGGGGGGCTCCAGGACCTGTCCCACTCTTGTCCCACCTGTTCTTAGAAGCTTAAGGTGGAAAAGATCTCCCACCTTCCTCCAGACTTTGTCCTGCTCAAGGATTTCTTCACACATCCAGGTTGTTGTCTGCTCTCTGTCCATTGGGTCCTATCAGGTTCCTTAAGCATGTAGCTTATTTATAGTGCTTAGAATCACAGAATCCTGGGATGGTTTGGGCTGGAAGGGACCTGAAAGCCCATCCTTGGGCAGGGACACCTTCCACAGTCCCAGGCTGCTCCAAGCCCTGTCCATCCTGGCTTTGAACACTTCCAGGGATGGTTCACAGGGAACTTCCAGGGATGATGCTTCTGCAGTCCCACCTAACTTGCTTTGCTGGATGTGACCCAAGGGCTTTGGTGGGTTTTTTGGCTCTCAGTCCTGTTGTTCTGCCAAACCTGAATCTCCTCTTCCCAACAGGAAGAAGACTCCAGTGGGATATGGGATCCTGAGGACGTACTTTTCCACCATTCCTCCCTTGCCCGTTCTCCTCTGGGTGAACCTCCATGCCGGGGGTCAGGTGTTCAAGTTCCCCTCAGAGCAGTCCATCACTGAGATGAACATCTTGTCGTGGCTGGAGAAGCTCCAAGCAGGGCTGGAGATTCCCAGCAGTAAGTGGGCACAGGTTTATAACGTTCCCAAGCACACACTGTGAGCTCCAGTGTGTTTATGAGAAGATACTACGTGCAATAAATTGTCTGCCCTGGAATTTAACGATGGAAAAACCAGCTCTGCTTGTTAGAGCTGCAGAAGTACAAATAGTCCAGCCAAGAGAGAATGCCCACACTCACAAGTTTGCTTTGGGACTGTTTAATGCTCAGAGCCAAACGTGGATAGTTTGGAATTGACATCTTTTCCCTCTGATAATCCCCAAATCTGGCTGTGTTTTCCCATTCCCAGCCACAGCTTGCTAATAAAAAACCTCCCAGCTCCCAGCTGACAGTGTAAGAAGTAGCTGCTCTTCAGGCACCTTCCTGCATTTCTTTTTGGATGGGAAAGGATGAGGGAGCTGGTGTTTTACTGGGGGCTTTAGGGCATAAAGGGTTGGCTTGTGCTGTGAAGCTTTTCACTGAACCCTCCTGTCTTGCTCAGCCTGATGAGGCTTTGGAGGAAGCCAGCATGGATCTGCCTTCCTCAAGAGAGCTGGAGAGGGACTTGGGACAAGGGATGGAGGGACAGGGCACAGGGAATGGCTGCCAGAAGGCAGGATAGATGGGATTTTGGGAAGGAATTCCTGACTGTGAGGGAGGTGATGCCCTGCACAGGGTGCCCAGAGCAGCTGTGACTGCCCCTGGATCCCTGGAAGTGTCCCAGGCCAGGCTGGACACTGGGGCTTGGAGCCACCTGGGACAGTGGAAGGTGTCCCTGCCATGGCAGGGGTTGGAATGAGATGATCATTAATGTCCCTTCCGACCCAGATTGTTCTGTGGTTCTCTGATCTTTCAAAAAGGTTTTTTTTAATTTTGTATTCATTAGAATGGGGGGAAAAAAGCCATAATTCCTCAGAAAGGGAACTATCCGTGGAGGTGGGACACAACTCTTCACCTACTAACTGGGACTGTATTTGCTGCTCAGGTACCTTGTCTGAGGAAGACTGGAAGCCACCACTCCCTGCTTATGATTTCCTGCAAATGATGGAGCCATCCGTGCCTGATCTGTCCCCTCACCCCGGGGCCACCCCGGCACAGCACCGGCCCAAAAGCCCCGGAGGGGACACTGCCGGAGGGGACACTGCCACCCGGGAGGAGCCATCCCAGGAGAGCTCGGCAGAGGAGGTCGGTGCCCCTGGGAGGGGCCTGCGGGGGACAGCCCCGAGGCTGGCAGGCAGGGACAAGCAGGGCAAGAGGCACAGCGAGCTCTGAGAGCTGCCCTGGGGAAAGGTGTGCCCTGGAAAGCCTGGCATTTTCCCAGCCTTTTCTCCAAGGAGAGAAGAGGTTTCAGCTGTCAAGGAATGGTGAAAGGAAAGGCCACTCTCTGCTGCTGAGTGTTGGGAGCTCATCAAGCAACAAGTTACACTGGAAAGGACAATTCAGCCCTGCTCTGTAGATTCCCCAAGTCTCAGAGTTACTTCAGTTGCCCCTGAGCAGGGAGGAGTGAGTGATTCCAAGATAACAAACTCATTTCTCTCCTCCCTGGTTGCCAGAGAAGCTCTACTGATGTGTGACAGAAAATCCTGCAATTCCATCTGCTTTGGAACCCTGTGGAGCCAGCATTCCACCACTCCAGGGCTGCTCCAACCAGCCCCCAGTTGTGTTTACACCTGACTTGTGACCTGAATTCGTGACTGTTCATCCTCACAGGGGAGAAGAGGAGGATCTGCTCAAAGCAGATTTATTCCAGAAGCCAGAGCTCAGGTCACACAACAGTCCTGAATAGCTGGGACAAAACTCTGCCAGCAAATCCCAAGGGTGGGCAGGTTGGGAGATGGCTTTCCTCACTGCTGGCATTTTCTTGGTCACAAGCCCAGGGGCTATTTGCAGCCTCCATTTGTCTTTGCTCTCAATGACAGCAGCAAGGTTGGTGCCTCCTGAGCTGGGAATGGTGCAGGGAGCAAGGTCTGTGGAAAGCTGAGTGCTGTGGAAGAGGGGAGAGATATGAAGGGCAAGGCTGGACCCTTCCAAGGAGGGATGGAGCTGCTTCCCATCCAAAACTTAAGTGAGGAGATGCAAAAGCTGGGGAAGTGGATTTCCAGCCTCTGCACATCTCCTGGGGACAAGAAATGGCAGGGGGTTGGAAGCAGATGGTCTTTAAAGTCCCTTCCAACCCAAACCATTTTAGGACTCCATGACCATCCCTTCAGTGAACATCTCCCTTCCAGAGCACTGCTGAGATGTGCTGGGAGAGTCAGATCCTCTTCTTACTCCTTAAGGCTCTGAAAAATTACTGGGAAGAGGAAAAAAATCCTGGTAAGGGACTGCTGAGAGCATTGCAAACTCAGTATTTCTGATTCTGCAAGCAGCACACGTGGCTGTGAGTCTTTTGAAATACCCAGAAATAGATTATTAGTCCTGGGCTGTTCTGGAAGCCCTTAATTGAGAGAGACCATTTTTGGAGTGAGTGACAGGCTTTGAGCCAAAATGTATGTATTTAAAGGAATAAACTGCAGCCTGCTGATCAAAGGCATGATTCCCAAGGGAAGGGTGTGAACAGATCCTTCGTGTGTTCCCATCATTCCTCTGCTCCATGAGGTCCTTATGCTTCTGAATTCCATAAACTGAACATTGTTCATTTCCCATGCTGTCCCTGATCATCAACATCAAATCCCAGAATCCTGGGATGGGCTGGGAGGGACCTTAATTCCCATCCCATCCCACCCCTGCCATGGCAGGGACACCTTCCACTGTCCCAGGCTTCTCCACAACCCATCCAGCCTGGCCTTGGGCACTTCCAGGGATCCAGGGGCAGCCACAGCTGCTCTGGGCACCCTGTGCCAGGGCCTCCCATTCTCACAGCCAGGAATTCCTTCCCAATATCCCATCTAACCCTGCCCACTGCCAGTTTGAAGTGCAATAATTGGGTTTTTCATTGCATCTTAAATAAATCCATCTCCAGTAGGCTCCTCTGCATTTTTTGGGTGGTGGGAGCAGAGAGCCTGGGCAGGTGCCCCTCCTCAGCAGGATCCTTTCCTTCCCCCGGGTTTGGAGGAGCATTCCCACGTCCCTGCTCTTGTCCACGTGTCCTTTTCCAGGCACAGCCCTTCTCCGGTGCAGGGCTGGGGCAGGAGTTTGTCAGCAGGGGTCAGTGCCACATCTCCGTTGGGGCTTTGCAGATCCCCGCCTCTCCCAGTGCTGCTGGATTGAGGCTGGAGCGTCCCCAGCGGAGCGCTGGGGGTCGGGAGCAGCTTCCCAGTGGGATCCTGGGGGGATGCTGCTGCATGAGGGGCCGAGCCTGGACAGTCCCAGCTCTGCTGGCTTCATCCCCAGCATCAGCAGTGGGATCCATCAGCTCCAGCTTCCCAGGCTGGGCTGGGATGCCCAGAGCCCTGAGCTGAGTGCACCTTGCAGGTGCCAGCACAGAGACTTGGGAGGGGATGTGCTTATCCATGTCCCATCACTGCCAGAATCCAGCTGGACTGCCAGCTCTGGTTTGCCAGCTCTGGATGCAGATCATGGTCCTGGACCACATCAGGTGGCTTGGAGTTCATTGGGGTTTTGTTTCTCAATACAAAATGTCTTTTTCACTCTGTAGCCCAAATAGGCACTCATGGAAATCCATGGAGGCAGAAATGTGCCAGGTCATGTATGGAGAGGGGGGAAATATTAGGGATACTGAGGACAGTTTGATGGAGATCTGCATCCCAAAATTTCCTCACCCACCAGAGGAAATGCTCCAGCACTTGGCTGTTTCCAATAACTCCAGCTCTGGGGGCAAAGCGGGGCAGAAAGAAACTCTCTGGAGTGGGATCTGTCCTGTCCCAGGAGGCTGGAGAAGCAGGATCCGTCCTGTCCCAGGAGGCTGGAGGAGCAGGATCTGTCCTCCACACGGAAGCCAGCAGGGTCTTCGTGCTTATCAGCCTCCCTGTATCATTGCTGCTGCTCAAGTGAGGTGAGATCACCAGGGACACTGATGTTATCAGCTCCTTCTTCAACCATTTAACAATAAAAGTCATGTTTGGATAAACCACAGCTCTGTCTTCCTCGGGGGTGCAGGCTCAGCTTAAGATTTCCTGGCTGATATGATCAAGTGCAGCTTCAGAGCAAACTCTTCTTCTGGTGGGACTTCTTTTCAGCAGATATTTGGATGTGCTTCAGGAGCCTTTCAAGTGGTATTTAAATTATCAGAAGATAAAACTGATACACACACACCCAAAAAAGGATTATGTGCTTGTCCTGAAAGCAAAACAATTTATTGTCCAAAACAACAGGAAATTCTCCATGCGCTCCTTGTTGGGCCCTTGCAACTCAGGATATTCTGTGATTCTCTGATCTGTCCCCATCCTTAAGGAATCTCACAAAGGCAGGCTGGCAGCAGTGCTCACTACAGGGCAGAGGGAATATTTAAAGTGTCTGTTGTGTTTTCCACATTTAAAAGCTTTTAGAGGGAGTGGTCTCCAAACCGTGGGACATTGGAAGAGGTCACGGCATTCCTTCCACGTTTTCCACCCTTTGAGCAGAACCAGGGTGCTGAGAGACAAGCCTTTACCTTGGAATGTGGATTTTCCAAATTGCCTGAGAATTTCCAAATTCCCAGCCCATCCTGGACCACTGATGGGCAGCCACAGTCCCTCCTGGGGATCCTCATTCCATGGCCAGGCTCTGGTCTGGGATACAGCTGCAGGATGGCAGGAGAGGTGGCTGCAGCAGGGAGGAGGCAGGACAGGAGATGCTGCCAGGCAGGAGCAGGGCCACGGGAAGGACAGATCTGCCTGGACACATTCCAGCAGGATGTGGAGCAGGACAAGACCTGGTGAGCTGGCTCGTGTCCCCTGGGCTCATCGGTGCCTGGCGCTGGGTGGGGACAGGGAGGCTGGCAGGGCTGGGGGACAATGAGAAGCAGTCCCTCCATCCCAGCTGGTGGCTCAGCCAGCAGAGATGCTTTCCCTGCGGGGCAGGTTCCTCTCCAGCACGGCTTGGCCGTGATCCCTGCCCTGGAGCTCCCGCCCCTGCCGCAGGGCCCTGGGTCCGGGAATGTTTGTCCGGAGCTGCTGCCGAGGGTGTCTGGAACAGCCTCCTCCAGACCTCAGCCCACGCCTGGGGACATCCAGGGTGATGCAATCCATCCTGGTGCCCTGCATGTGTTCCCTGTGCTCTTGGCATTGCCCGAGGAGGATGGAGAAGGATCCCGCAGCTGCCTGGTGTGTCCATCACTGGCAGTGTGTCCCCTCCCCAGAGTGTCCCCTCCCCAGAGTGTCCCCTCCCCAGTGTGTCCCTACCCCACCCCAAACCAGCTCCCCGAGCCCACACAATGCCCCTGCTGCCTGTCAGTGTGAGGCAGGTGCTGGGGACCGAGCAGGGACAATCTGGGGACAGACAGACAGATGTTGGTCCAGGGGTGGGATGGGAAGCAATTGATGCCATAATGGCAGGGTTGGAGGTGGCTGAGGAGCTGAGCTGGGGACAGGAGGGTGCAGGATGGAGCTGGGATGTGGGATAAGGGGTGCTGGCTGAGCAGGATGGGGTGGCTCTTGCACCTGGCACTTCCATTGCTAAAAATACAAATGGCCCAGGAAAGTATCCCCAGTCCCCAACCTCTTGTTTTCAGGGTGGCCAGGATGGGGTGTCCATCCCTTCTGCCCCACGCCCAGCATGGGCAGGAGTTGGGTCTCAAGGACACCACTGGCTCCATCCTCCTGGATGGGGATTGGGATGGAGCTGGGAAGATCAATCCAAACCAGCTCCTCACAGAACACCTTCTCTCTGTATTTGCATTCCCACAGACGTGCTCCACCTCCAGCCTGTCCTGGCACTGCCCCCACAGCTCTGCTCTCCTGCTCCATTCCCAAACCAGGTCCATGCAGGATTCTCACTGCTCCCGACTCACAGGCTGTGCTCGAAGTGAAAGTCCAGGCTGGAAGAGCAGCAACCACCATGGACCATCCCACAGCAATCCCTTCCCAGTGCCTTTCCTGCTGCTCCCGAAAAGCAGGAGCCCCCAGGTTTCCTTGGGGCCGTGGAGGGAGCAGGAGTGGCACGTCCCCTTGGGGACATTGTCGCTCTTTGTCCATTGTTCCCTCTTGGCTCAGTGGAGCCGACGTGGAGACGGGGAGCGATAAGTGGGGAGAGGGCAGCGCTCGGTTCCTGCTCCCCGACAGGTTATTTCCCGACCTCTCCTTAGGTAAACTCAGCCCTTCACCTCCCTCAGAGTTTGCTTTGCTCTCCCTCACCCCTCCAGCACGGCGTGGGGCCCAGGAGAGCAGCCTGGCTCTATTAATAGCCCCTGGAATTGCCAAATCCCTCCTGTGTGTTGAAAGAGTGGCTGCAAGCCCGTGATTCAGCTCCGCGGTAACGCACGGGACGGTTCCCCGGCATGGCTGTGGTGGGAAAGCTCCCAGCTCTGCTGCAGGGCAAGCTGGGCTCTCCAGTGGGGAGGGGAGATGGGGGAGAGCCCCTCAGCTGGGATTTCTTGGCTTGCTGGCAACACAGATGGTCTTTATTGCTAAGCTTGGTGGTGTTCTCTGCGTTGGCCGCTGCCCGAGCTCACTCTGCACAGGGATCCACAAAGAGCAAAATCCAGGAGCCTCAGAGAGGGCAAAGCCATGGAATCATGGAATGCTGGAACCATTTCAGTTATAAAAAACCTCTAAGATCATCGAGTCCATTCTCCCAGCGCTGCAAAGTCCCACCAAATCCTGTCCCCAAGTGCATCCACACAGTTTTTAAATCCCTCCGGGGATGGTGGCTCCACCACTGCCATGGGCAGCTCTGCCAGTGCTTGGCAACCCTTTCCACAAATAAATTTTTCCCAATATCCAACCTAAACCTCTGCTGGAGCGACTTGAGGCCGTTTTTTCTTGTCCCCAGGGCTGAAGCAGGCTCTTGGGCTTGAAATCCATGGTGTCTCTATCCCAGCCTTGCTCCATGAACAGTCCTGCCTGGAGGAGAGGGGAGAGCATCTCCTCAGGCTCCTGCCGAGTTTGAAGTCTTGGACTCTCCTTAAGCTGGGCTTGTAAGTGACTCACAATGGGGAGTGGGAGCTTTCCAGGGCTGAGGTGACTCCCTGTGGATCCTGGACCTGCTGTGGGGACATGGGTGGGAGAAGTGACCCATGGGGAGAGGTGGGATCCTGGATATGGAAGCACCAAGGATGCTGCAGCTGGGGGAGTTCAGCTTAGCACAGCAGGGAGCCCCAGCTGTGAGCAGGGCCAGGCACCAACACCAAGGCAAATATTTGGAAAGGCATTTGCTGCCCAAAAATAGCTGGAAAAGCTTTCAGGAGCAAAGTTGGAACTGTGTCTGTGGGCAGCAGCCAGAGTCCCCCAGCCTAGGGCAGCTCCCAGACACAGGGGACAGAGATGGGAAGGGGGAATGACCAACATCTGTCCATTAATTACCCTTTCTATGGCAGGGGGCATCTGTGGGGCTTCTTTTGGAGACATCCCATCCCATGGACCTGGAAGCTGAATAGGGAAAACTTAGCATCATCCTCCTTGTCAATTCAGGGATGCTGAAATGTGGGTACCAGCATCCAGCTAAT